TGGGCACGGGCCACATACCCGTCACCGAGCTCAAAGACATCGATGTGTTCCGACCGGAGAGCATTTGGGACACCGCCAAGCTGGCCTATGGCATTTCCACAATTGGTAAGGACAAATTTTCCACTGATGGGATTCGATTTCAAGACAAAATTCATCCATGCAGGCAATCTACTTGTGGACCAAGCGACCTGCTCCGATGGACGGGTTGTGGATCGAGCCCGCGCCTGGTGCAGCACCATCGGCATACCCTACTTCCGGTTCAACCCACAGCTGAGCGAGGACATTGCCATGGACGAGAAGGATGACCAGAAGCTGATAAACATGCTGTGGCACACCAAGGCCTACATGCACGCCAATCGCAACAAGATCATTGAAATGATAAACTTTCTGAAATAGCGCGCAAGACGGATTTAGACCGCACAGCCCTACGCTCTAGAGATCTATTGTCAGGCTAGATATCTGTTTTAAACAGTTTCCACTGTTCTCTCTGTGTATTGTAATGTATGTTCCGAGCCCTTTTTTTGCGTTCTAGCACTTTTTCGCGGTCTAAATCAACGCCCATACCATACACACACACCCACTCACTCACTCACCGAAACCTCCCCAAATGTATGATTTAAATTAGTTTCAAAGTTTTTTGTATTATTGCCCGTTTGTTGTATGTATATCTCCACGCATCATCCTCTCTCCTCCAATTGAATTGGGAGCTGAAATGTACTTTTATAGGAAAACATTCCGTGGCCCTTTATTTGTAAATGCATATGTAACTGAGCACGAATTTTAAATAAAACTTGTAAGTGTTTAAACCTGTTCTCTGATGCATAATAGCCCGCAGCGGATTCTTGGCAATAAAGTTCCCAGAACTTGAAAGTCTCTAGAAAGCATTAATGTGCCACCTTAAATGATATAAATATTAGTAATATAATATGTGCTTAGTATATGGAAATACAGGGTATTCGACATTGTCTACCCCAACGGAGAAAAACAATTGCCAGGGCTGACGAATGCCAATTCATCGTGTGAAAAATCGATACTTCTCACATCCGTTGTATCGATAGGGGGCAAAATTTCATTAGAATACGGTCACACTGCGGAGCGTTGCTCGTCGCACGAACTAGTTCAAAAAGTTCCTTTGAGAACTGAACAATTGAATACAAACAATACAGACAGAAAAATAATCAGCGCCGTGCAAAAGCAGAAAATATTCGGTGAACAAACGCAACAATTGTGACGCACGGCGACGCAACGGACGCACACAGATCGGAAATGGCCGCGGCCACCAACAGTGACTTCTCCGGCGTGGAGACGGCCCGCGAGGAGGTCGAAATGCCCATGCCAACGATGGTGCCCATGCCGTCGAAGGGGATTATGATAACTCCGCCGCCCGTGATGCCGCCCACACCCACATCTTCGCCAAACACACACGGGGAGTGGCCCAACAACCTGAATCCAAACGCATTCCAGCTGAGCAGAGACCGAGAACACTTTGCGCTGCCACACTTGCCTCCACTACCCCTGAAGGCCAACACCGACTATCTGCCGAGCCTGATACATCCGAGCACCCTCCCCTCGAGCAGTAAGAGCTTCAAGATGCGCCCGCGGATGCAGCGCCTGAAGACGTATTGCAGCTACAACAACATATTGGCCCAGTCGAACGGGCGACGACTGCGCACCGCCGCTTCCACCTGCAACGTTGAGTGGCTCAACCGTCTGCTGGAGGCGGGGGCCAATCCCAATGCCGCCGACGAGTACAATCGGAGTCCGCTGCACTTGGCCGCCTGCCGGGGCTACATACCGATTGTCGAGCAGCTGCTCAAATACGGCGCCAATCCAAACGTGGTCGACTCCCTGGGCAACACGCCCCTTCACTTGGCCGTAATCTCGGCCAGCTCGAACAACTTCAATGTGGTTGTGGGCGTTCTGCTCCAGGGCGGCGCCAGTGTGCACATGTACGACCGCAGCCACAAATCGCCGCTGGAGCTGGCCGAGGCCAGGCTGCGACTGCTGCGCAATCGCTACGATCATCCCACACCTGAGCATGCCAAGATTCTGGAGGATATGTGTATGCTGACAACGCTGATTTTGCGCTATATGGTCAAGCAGCAGCGCGAGCTGGAGGACCTCTCGGCCCTGGAGAAGCGATTGCAGAACCTGAGCACCAGCGACGATCAGGAGCAGGTTGTCTCCCAAACGGCCGACGAACTACTGGCCAGCGTCGAGCGCTTGTCCATCAACAACAAGTAGATGATGTCGGTCGAACAGAAGAAACCATTTCGAGAGCGGGCTCAAATTGCGTTCGATGAGTTGAGTAATAGGTGAGTATTGTATGGGATGATGATGATACCATGCATGCCCCTGAGGGACCCATGTGAGAACTCTGAGTCTAACCGGGAATCCTTGTTCCGTTGCAGTTTGTATATCGTATCCTAATTTGGCTGCCGTTGAGCTGGCGTTGGAATCGTATGTGTGCGACGTCAGGACTCCTGGTCGCGATCCGACACCCGCTCACACACATCCACCACACACTTCCCCCTACCCCACACACACACACGCAAACACAACACACATACACACACACACACATTGTTTCATGCGATCTTTTCTTTAAGTATTTCGTTTAAGATTTCATTGTTTGATAAAACAAATAAACCACAAATATATGATTACATTTTAAGCTTTACGTTTAGCGCGCCAAAACAACATCAATTTATGTAATAAAGATGCAATTGCAACTCTTGTGAACACCCAAAAACAAAAGTTATACTATTTACATTTAACCAACAACCAAGTGACTCGCCCTCCCCCTCAAACAAAAACATAAATAAAAAATGAAATCGTTAAGTGTCTATATTGTAAACCCCTCCTCTGAACAATAAACAAATACCAAAACGGGTACTTAATCCATAGAAAAACAGTCACGGTCTGTGAATTGATAAATGACAGAAAAAGTAACTACCATATATAGTGCTTTGTGCAGGTGCGTAACTTTCTTGGATTCCTAGTGATACGATGAGTCTTTCTTCTTATCAAAAATACAGCTAAGAAAGAGGTAGGGCAGAGACTTCACAGCTGATAACTGATAAACTAAAGTAACTTCTATATATGAACATTTGGACACTATTTCTTTCTACTTGGTGATGGAGAAGTCGAAGAAGTTGGTGGCCCAAGGTCAGGACCAGTACACGGAGGAACAAAAGTTTCTGACCGATGCCGCAAAGTGTATCCTCAAGTTATCCTCTAGCCAGAAGAGAGTCCCGTCTACCACAGCCTAGTTCAAAGGTCACCGCCCAAGGACCGTGAACAACACATGGACCCTCTCTACGTCTCGGATAAAATTAAATGTTCACGGCTGAGAGCCCTAGCTTCCTTGCAACATTTAACCGAATAGCAAAATCAAGGAATATGATTTCCGATCAACAAAAAAGAACGTTAGCCCATTGTCGACCCGGGGGGTTTTTCAAATACAAACTCTAAAATGATGAAACTTGAAGAATTTTAACGCAGTTCAGGTACAAAATATCTTGGTTTTTTTTTCGCAAGTTTTCGAGGAAGGTTTGAATGGATCAAACAAGTTGACCTGCAGTAGTATTTTTCGCGGCTTAACTCAAGTTGTTGTGTAAATGGAGGGCAATTCAGTGGGTTAAGTTCGTTTTTTCCTCGGTAAAATGACGTTTCTGAGGTTCCAGTCACACTCGACAAAACAAATCAAGAGAAATATTTATTTTCCATACACTTTTGAAAATGACCGCCAAACTCCATTTATCGTACAAAAATATCGATATTATTCGCTCTCAAATCGTGGTGGTTTTTCAAAATTTGACTCTCTTTTTTGAGGTGAAGAGAGCGTTTTCGTGGTGACTTTTCGTGGTGTGAGAAACATGTATCTTACGGGAACGCGTATGGAATGAAGATTCATTGTTGCGTCATTTCATACGCGTTCCCGTAAGATACATTTGCTTTTTCAGCAACATGTGGAAATGAAGAGTCAGCATTGTTGTGCAACTTTGGCACGGATTGAGCAACAATCTGCATACCTTGGGAAAATGGATATTATGGACTTGAGATATTGTTTGTAATTTCAGGCTCCAATTAATGCAGAAACTACTCAGTCTCTGTTTTGAAAGATATTAACGAAATTTTGTAGCTTACGGGTACCAATAATAGGTATCAGAACCGGGATAAATGTATATATAAAACACAAACATGTGCATTAATAGGTAAAAAACAATCAATCTAGGATAAAATCATAAAAAATGTTTCAATGGAGCTTGGAACAAAACATTTAACACCAAAATTAAAGAAATAAGGTATACAAAAGTACATACGCATAGAAGGTACTTGCTTGACCAGCAACAATGACGTCACATTTAGTCAACATTTATGCTTTGGCCGTTTTTGTTTGAACCCTATTATCTAAACAATCCCATTAACAATAGTTCTGAAAACTAACCAATCCTGAACAAAGTTTATGTATCTATTGGATAAAATTATTTGTTTACGGCTGAGAGGGCCAACTTGCCAGTAATATTAAACGGAATATCAAAATTGACGAATTCCATATCACAAAACATCATGGTATGGCAGCCCGCAGCAACTACGAATTGCACGAGTCTGGCAGCGCCACAAAAAACGACGTCACATTCGTTTTATGTTGTTTTTGTTTGAACCTTAATATGTAAATAATCCAATAAAAAGGACTTCTGAAAACTTGCCAATCTTGTAGAAAATTTATGTATCTATCGGATAAAATTATTTGTTTAGGGCTGAGAGGGCCAACTTGCTAGTAATATTAAACGGAATATCAAAATCGAGGAATATCAACGTTGAATGTTTTGAAAAAAACAATCGATACTATCGTAATAGTATCGGGCTCAAATAATTATTAAAAAAAACCATTGAAACCTTTTAGGTTGTAAAAATTAGATGCCGTCGATTTGTTTACAAATGTGTCTTCGTATTTTATAGCAGCAGCCAATCCAAACACATCAAAAGCGCAACGACTGTAGCTCGATACTGATAGTCTCAAAACCATCGATAGTAGAGGGTAGCAAAATATAAAATAAATAAATATTTCCAGACGAAACAGCGAAAATGATGCAGATGAAAGAGTATAAGGAGGTGCCTCAGGATGTACCCCAGGACGATACTGTGGTGCGACAGCCCACGTCTGCAGATGCTGTCAGGATACCAAGTGGACCTGGTGCGTGCATATCGTTATTTCCTTCTATTAACTATGCGTATGATACAATACATGCAAAGATCTGTGCGTTTGTGTGTTTGGGCGTGTGCTAAAAAAAATGTTGATTTTCTGTTTTTGGCAATTGATGCTAATGTGCGCGTTAAATAGCTAACAAGAACTCTATGGCCCATTGCAGAGAACTGGATGTCAATACCCGTGGGGATGCCCAATTGTCCTCAAGGACTCGAGTATCTGACTGCACTGGATCAATTGCTGGTGTCGCAGAAAATCGAAAAGCTGGAGCTCCTTACCGGCTTTGAGACGAAAAATCGCTTCAAAATTAAGAATTCGCTGGGCCAGAATGTTTATTTCGCGTACGAGGAGAGCGATTGCTGTACCCGAAATTTGCTGGGCAGATCGAGACCCTTCGAGATGAAGATACTGGACAATTTCCAGAACGAGGTCCTGCACCTGAACCGTCCGTTCCGCTGCGATGTGCTTTGCTGCTTCCCCGACTGCTTGAACGCTGTGGAGGTGTCGGCGCCACCGGGACAGGTTATTGGAACAGTGGAGCAGGTCTGCACATTCCTACGACCGAAATTCAACATCAAGAACTCGTTTGGCGATACTGTTTTGCACATCGAGGGCCCCATCTGCCCCTGCAAATGTTTCAGTGATACCAATTTCAAGGTTAGTACGCCGCCCAACAAGTGGTTATACCCACACGCACACACTATACATATATAGTACTATGCGTATAAATAGTATAAAGCGTACGTATATCAAAGTGGATATATAAGTACATAACGGGCTACAGCCACTGCAGTCAGGGCCGTCATGACGTCATAGCGATATGCCTGACTGTACGCGAGAGAGTCAATTAATTCAGATATTTACTGCATCAGACTGTGTATTGCTGGATGTGTGTGTGTATGTATGCTGTGCAAATGCCCGATTAATGCGGAACATAAAAAATATCTTACGCCTTTATAATTATTATTTTTACTGCGTAGGTATTGAGCGCCAATAACGAGGAGATCGGCAAGATAAGCAAACAGTGGTCGGGCCTGGGCAGAGAGCTGTTCACCGATGCGGACTACTTTAGCGTCACGTTCCCCCTGAATCTGGATGTCCGGATGAAGGCCCTCATATTCGCAGCACTCTTTTTGATTGTAAGTTCTCTTGCTATTTCTTTTGTTTAATTGCCATCCTTATGCTCTCCATTCTGTTCATTCTAGGATGTGGTCTACTACGAGCAATAAGCCTGATGCTTCGATTATCACACACACACGCACACACACCCGCACACATTATATTTGCCGACTGCTTAGTGGTTAGACGTGTTGCATCGTCATAGCATTTAGGGTTTTTTTATTTACACTACTTAATCGCAAACCAACTGAATTTTCTGGGAATGTGAACAGTGCAACTCTTTGATCAACTTGGAATCTCCCCCGTGAATCAACACCGGAAGTGATTGGAATCTCCCCTCCTCTGGAATGGAATATGTATATTTTCGCGCACAATGTTTAATTGAAATGCCGATGACATTGGCATTTAAAACGCACAAAATCTGTAGCACAAAAACAAACAACACACGAACAAAAACGAGAACGAGTGCCTTATGACGTCCTAGTTGTTCCCCTCCATGGTTGCCCCTATTTATATATAACTCGACATGGCTTTGTTCTAACCAAAGGTCGGATCGGAGCAAAGCAGGAATACTTAATAACAGAAACAATTGCGTACCTAACTAAATGGTTAATCTACTTGTAATCTGACACACAACACGAATATTAACGAATATTTTTATATGAATCTAATGGAAAATTGAATTGTTAACATTATTCTCTGGATATCCCCCAGATATACATGACATTTATGTGATGTTTATGGTTTCGTTAGTTTAGAGCCAAACCACACACACCCACACACAGAAACATTATTACTTATTGCATCACTTGCATTGCATACAACTTATGTACTTCATAATTTTATTTATCTCTCAGTTATGCTGTATGAATTTGTAAAATAAACAATTTGTTTTATACAAAAAACAAACGCGGTCTGGACCGGTGCCATATGTACAGAGGACTCGTGCACTGCGGGGGGTGTGTAATTGTTCGATGATTGCTGTTGTCAGTCGTGAACATTTGGAATGTAACTGGGCTTGGGCTCGGGCATGGATAGGAGGTATGAAGAGATCTTTATCGTTGATCTACCCTCAGTTATTCTTAGCAAAGTACTTGGTCTTCTCCTCTGGATCGGGCACAATCTGCAAAGACAAAGAGCCTTAGTCAATCAAGTTTTTTTCTTGTGGAAATTTATCCAATGCTTACCGTATCGGCACCTGGTCGCCAACCGGCTGGACAAACCTCGCCGTGGGTATCGGTGTACTGGAATGCCTGGACCAGACGTATGGTCTCATCCACCGAACGGCCCACGGGCAGATCGTTCATCGTGATCTGACGCAGCACACCTGCCTGATCAATGATAAAGAGACCGCGAAGCGCATGGCCACTCGACTCCAGATAGACGCCATAGTCCTTGCTAATTTTGTGCGTCAAATCGGACAGCAGCGGGATCTTTACGTCGCCCAGGCCGCCCTCCTTCCGCGGCGTGTTGATCCAGGCCAGGTGTGTGAAGTGTGAATCCACGCTGGCCGCAATCACCTCGGTCTTGATCTTACGAAACTCCGCAATACGGTCCGAGAAGGCAATGATCTCCGTGGGACACACAAACGTACTGGACAAAATACACACATCGGTGAGTCTTTTACATATATCAACTAGGTTCTGGAGCAGTTTTACTTACAAGTCCAGCGGATAGAATAGCAGGACAACGTATTTGCCCAGGTGTTGGGAGAGCGATAGCTTCACGATCTCCTTGTTCACCACAGCAGTGCCCTCGAATGCAGGAGCTGGCTTCGAAACTGATTTTTGGAAGGGAAGGAAAGGGAAATTGATGAACTATGAAATGCCTCAGAGCAGGGTCCAACCACTTACTGACTGCCTTGGTGTACTGCAGCTGGTGATCGCCCTTTGGCTCCTCTGCGGGATACACAGAGCCACCGGCGAAGGAGTAGCAGGATTCGCCATCGTCGGGCTTGGCGGCCTGGACAAAAGTAGCAGCCAGCAGTAGGACGGCCAGGTACTTGTACATGTTGCACTCGCTAACTACTCTGAAATGAAATACACGTATGTACGTCTGATTAGTTTCGGTTGATACACCCACAAATCGTAGTGTACACACACACATCCACAGAGTTCGCGGCCACGCAGTCAAATTTTTTATGTCTTTCTCTTTCAATTGGTCTAGTTCTTCTTCGCTATGGCGCGGGACAATCAAATCAACCCGTTCCTCTCTTTTTTGGTACGTACTGCTTCCGTAATGATAAGCACAATTCAATGCTTATCAATCCAATGGGCTGGCAATATATTTTATGGTTGTCAGTGTGTGCAAGTCGAAGCCGCAACGAAAGCGAAAATATCCATGCAACTGCTATACCCACTCTTATTATTTATCAGTACATTCTGTGTTCTGTAATAATACTTTTGTCCGACAATAAACTCACACTTCACGCGCTGCTTTTTCCAGTTTAAATGCTATAATTAAATAAAATAAAATATAATATTTGTTTACTATGCCGGCTTGTTGCTGTTAGTATGACCGCGGATTTATGTATAACAAATACCGCCAGACATATACCGAAATATACCTTGTCACTATCAAAATATACCGTAACTATACTGAAGACAATTGTCCCAAATGAATCCATTTCCCCGATTTTGATTTTCGGATTAGTATTTTACTGATTACTGGAGCCCTCGGTAGGGATCATATATTTTTTACGATAAATTGATTAATTTCCTAAAAGATTCACTTACTTAAGGTACTCATTTCAATTTAATTATTCATAAAATAGGGTTTAATTAATGGTCTTTTGATGGCAAAGTTGATGTCTTACATGGTAACTACACGCTAACTACAATGACAATGACGAAATAAATCGTATTGTAACAGGCACAAGAAAGGCGTAGATACCCTGCATTAGGTAGATATATTCCATCGCATTTAAAATAATTGAAAAGTTAATTTTTTGTTTTATTGTACTTACGAGATATAAACTTTATTAAAATATATATTTATATAAATTTGCTGCGCTTATAAATTAAAGTTTATGCCTGGAGCGCACATGCGTCCTTGCATTTGTTTTACTTGCTACGACCAATAAATATATAATATGCATCTCTCTTAAGATCTAGACGATAGACGTATGTATCGTGCATCATGGACGCACACACTCTAAAAACTACAACAAATTGAGCAAAAATCTGCATTAATTGCACAAAAAGCGACCATTTAAAGTACATTATTGCTGAGCATGTCGATATTACTCTCTAATATTGCTAACTTTTGATTGAGAAACTTTTTGTGGGAGTTATGGTTGGTGTTGTTGGTTGCTGGCTTTTGTTGCAGTGTTACTCTAATTGCTGATTGGGGCATGCGTTGTGCATGTGAGAAAAAATGCACCGTGCTTCACAGTACCCTGGCTTAGCTCTCCCAGACCTCATCCCTCTGTTTTGCAGCTAAAAGTTTACGTTCTGAAATAAAATAAACAAAGATTCGGTGAGACCGGCACTTGCAGGCAATTGTTTATGCGGAAACACACCTTTGGCTTCACGTAAAACACGCCTCTCGTTTTCACGCTCCTCAGGCGCAGTAGCCAGTTTTACTCCCAAGGCGCCGGATACAAGACGTCGGGCCAAGGCCGTGCATGTTTCCGGACGCTGGCGATATGGTTGCAGTGAGACGGCTCCGGCTTTCTTGGCCTTGAGTCGCGATTCGAGTGTCGCCTCGGCCAGCGGCTTTAATTTCACAAATGGATGTCCCATAGTCAACACCTCAGCAGCTGTGTAAACAATGATTGGATTGTCAGCTACATAGAATCTTGAAATGGGAGGAGAGGATAACAAATACCCACCAATGCGGGAACTGCTAAACACAGCCAAAGCGTGGGTATCATCCACCCATTTGATATCGAAGCCACTGCCTTTGTACTGGGAGAAGAGCATGAGCAGGTCGGGCGTTTTGAATTCCACCGGAAAATTGGACACCTCCAGCACGTGAGGGAACTCCTCTTCGTTAAGCAGGGACTGTTTGATGTGAAACACCTAGCGGGGTCCAAAAAGAAAAAAATTTTTTTAAATACAAATTGATTCCGGGAAAGGCTTTCTCTACTCTACTCACGGTGTAGTCCATCTTGGGCAGCTCTATTTTGCATTTGCCCACAGAATCGTTCAGTTCTTGGAGAATCTTCGGGTCTAGGCAGTCGCCGCTCTCATCGAACATATTCTCCCAGTCATCCTCTTCCTCCTCATCGTCATCTTCGGTGGTGCTGTCTCCAGGTGGTTTTGCTGTCGCTTTTGCCCGAGTGGCCGCCTTGGGGGCCAACTCAATCTTCTCGGGTATCTCCAGCACGTCCGAGATGAAGGTTTGTTTCATGATGCGTCGATTGCTGCGATTTATTTCCTGCCCAAGTCGAGAGATAAGATATTAGACCCGTTTTGACATTACTCCCAGATTCATTTACCTTCGAGGCTCGCTGCAGCTCGCGCACATCATTATCACATTTGGAAGCTTCGTCTGCATTGCTGGTCCTGGACGCTGCCACATCCTCGATGCGCAACGGTGGCGGATGCTGTTTTCCGTTGCTGTTGGGTTTGTTACCACTCCCAGGCTTGGTACGCTGGCCGCTGCTCATGATCTGTGTGTGGTAAATGTTAAATGGTTAGCTGTGCAATGGATTCCTCCTACTCTGGTCTTGCAACGCTCACCTCCTTATCACAGTTGCCGGTGCTGTCTTGGTTAGACTCGTTTTCAGTTCTCGCCTCAGTCCCGTTGCCTGCTATCACAAGCACGGTAGCTGTCTCTGCTTGCGTGGGTTTTTCCGTTGCCGATATCAATTTCTTACTACGTTCCTTACGCTCCCGATGCGACTTGGTTTTCTTCGTGAGCTTCAGCTGACCGTTGCCGTCGTCTGGTTTGGACGGGTTTACTTTTGCTTCTGCAACTGGCGCTGCTTCCACTGGCAATGCGCTTTGCGTCGCTGCCGTTGTAGTTGCTGCTGCTGCTGTTGCTGCTGTCGCTGAGCTGCTGGTTGTCGGTGGTGTAGTTTGACTGCGTCTTGCCCTTGGCACATATACGGCCCGGTCGGGGCGGCGTTCGCGGCGAGTGGTGGACTGTTGCTCTCTGCGAAGCAGAAAACCAAAACAGAGGCGATAAAATGAACGGGTAAATCGATTAGTATACCAAAGAATTTCAACAATTGCACAGTGAAACTTCTCTTCAATGATCAAAGCAACAAGCAAGCAGGTTGTTCCTCATGGATAGGTTCGGCTGTACATATGAAAGTGAGATTATCTACCTGCTCGGTGATTCTTTGGAAGTAGAATTCGATATTGCTGTTCCTGCAGCTGTCTCTGCTGGCGTTTCGTTCGATGCAGCTGTCTCTTCGCTGCTGCTGTTCTTCCTGAGTGCTGGCGGTCTATACAAGTCCACAGAGTTCGATTTGCTTACTGCGGGAGAGGATCAGAGACAGAGAGATAGAAGATAATCAGAGGATGAGTGAGGAAAGCAAAAGAGTTGGCAAACCAACAATCACAAAAACCAAAGGTGAAGCAACGAATTTGGCATAAAATAAATTAAAAACTAAATTCACTAATGCTGACCCAATTTTCCCCCTCTCGCTGTGCGCCCAGCTTCGTGAATGTCAACACTAGAGCGAGCGAGAGGAGAGAGCGACCGCAACAAGTGAGCGTGCGCAGCCAGCCGCTCAGCTGAGCGAACGAGCGAGTTTCTGTTAATGATGCAACAGCACCAAAAATCCACTTGAGAAAGAGGGCGACCTTGAATGAGCTGCGTGACCCGCTGCGCTGCCTTCGCACAGCGTCGTCGTCGACGTCGTTTGGCTGGCATTTGGTTATTTTTAGTTAAATATTTAATTGGGATACCCTAGCTGGAGGCAAAGTTGCATTGTTTAGTTATGAACCGGCAAACCATTTAAATGGGAACTAATAATAACGAATATATTTGTACATGCAATTATTAAAATTATCAAGTAAATTTTTAATCTGCTTTACTAGGGTATACCCTGCGTCGGCGTAAAGTCCAAATACTGATTTATTTTTCTGTTGCTTTCTTTGTTTCGCCTACGCTTTGTCTTTGGTTCGTATTTTCTTGTGTATTTGCAAACATTTTGGCAGCTTGCTAAATGCATATACCCGAAAACGGCGACCATCAAAAATGGGGATAGGAGGTACTTACAAGGTGTCTCGCTGATATGCTTCTTCACGCCCATTTTACAGGGCTCAGTTACGGTGCTTCTCCTGTTAGCGCTACTACTGCTGATGCTAATGCTGCTGCTGGCACTGGTTTTGCCGTTATGTCCGTTGCTCCGCCAACTTCTGATTGGCTGATTCAGCTGCTGCTTTCGTCTGTCAATTTATTATAGTTCTTAGTTTCAAGTTCACTGCGCCGTTTACAACAAAAAGTCTACTCACGCCTCAAAGCCATGCGGATCAACTAGCTGATTGCGAAAACAAAGCACAGTGCGTCTCTGCGGCCCTTGCCCCACCGAGAATGTGAACAGATCGTACTGGTGTTTGTAATTCTCACATGTTTGATGGATGAGATAGCGACGATAATTGCCCACAGGTGGGAAGAGCAGCACACTATAAAAGAGAGTAGAACGGCGCCAGTTTAATGAGAGAGGAGAGCAAACTTAGTATTGATTTCATGCATGTGGGAGCGAGAGAACTTGAATTCACTTTACGAAACATTCTGGCACCCCTCACTCACACACTCAAAACAGGGGAAGAGAGCGAGCCCCAATCGCTAACAGGTTGTTTCGGGCACAGAAGAAGACCCGTTAAGAAGCACGCAAGCTCTCAATAACCGAAGCGCGGCTTGTAAATTATTATGCAACACCGTATCATGACCGAAGCGGCGTAATGTAATATTTGAAATTCATATATCTATGCTGCTGCTGTTACTATTGCGGCGCTTCACTGTCCGTTGTTTATTGCACGGTGATTAATTGTTTATTAAACGCGTACTGCATGCCAAAGCACAAGAAACGGTGTTAGGCGGCCCCCATTCAGTCGACGTCGGCGTCGGCGCAACTGCAATGCGGAAAATCTGCAAGAGCGTCGTGTTGTTGCTGTGGCAGCTGGGAAAACTCGAATTTGTGGCATTTGCAAAACTGGTAATATCTGCACGAAAGGCCCACAAAACTCGTACTACATTGCATCTTCTCGTTGTTGCTGTTGTTGTTGTTGGTTACATATTTCCGCGTTGCAATTCCTGTTGTTGTTTTTTTTTAAGGTGGGAACGGTTACACAAAGCTTTTGTTGTTGTTGTTGGGGCTGCCGCGCCACACCAGCTGCTGTCCAAGACTCCACACACACGCACACAGACAGTCAGTCGTTCGCACGCACTCACACTCACGCATTGCCATTCTCGTGGCAAAGGTTCTGATTGGTTTCTTACCCACTGCTTAACCGTTTCTGCACAAATAACTCTATGTCACAACCAACATTATAAACAAATTCCTGGTCAATTAAGCTTAAGCTAAGTGCGAATGCCGTTCGCTCGCCGTTATCCAGTTTATTTGATAAATATGCGACCTACGTCGCCAGCGCGTTAAATTATATATACACATACATATACACGGTTAGAACAATAAAATATACCGTCTGACCCTCAGAAATATACGTTCCGTTCCTATTTTCGAATACTGTAAAATATACCGAAGACAATCATATTCCTCAATTTTGATATTCGGTCTAATGTTACTAGTTAACTAGGACCGTCAGGGCTAAAAGTATAATTTTATCTGATTGATTTATTAATTTTTTACAAGATTGACTAGTTTTAAAGACTCTTTTTATTGGATTGTTTTTCAAATAGGGTTTAAACAAAGATCAACAAAAATGTCCCATATTTTACATCGTAGCTACACGGCAGCAACGTAGCCAGCGCGGCTTATATATACATGTATATACAGCATGTGTATGAACGGCAATGCCTGATTGGCATTCAAAAAATTAAATTAAGCTCAGTCTGTGGATACAGAACAAGACAGCCTAAACGTATTGGACCATTTATATAAAAAAAGGATTTCTTTGGAAATGGAATTACACTGGCCCTAATGGTAAGAGCTCCGAAAAATACTGTTACCAACCTCAATCTAATACGGATCTCCATCCCGCCGCTATGCCGTTCAAAAAAAAAAACGCCCCTAATCTATTGACCATACCTTGTTATTAGTATACCCTGGACAAGAGCAAGCAGATAAAAAATATAAACGACGGCAGCATACTTTATGTCGTTAAAATATGTGAACTTAAATTCCAAACAATGGCTAAATCTCGTGCAAATAGAGTCGTAAGGTCAGACCACTTTTGTTCAACTTTTTAAATACAGCGGGGTTAAGTGGGTTAACTTCTTTTTATTCCTCGGTATATTACGGTATACTATGAAAATGAGTAGGTATATTTCGGTATATTTCCGACGGTCAGGCGGTATATTTTAACGATACATCCGCGGCACTCTGAGCGATAAAAAAACAGCCGCAGAAAAACAATTTCTAAAATGTCGAGTCGAGTATTATTTTAACCAAATTCAGATAGTATTCCGTGGATGACTCCATTGTACGCCAGGAACAAGCCGTACAGCCGCACCACCCCCCCACACACACACCGCATAAACACTGCAGTATTTTCACACTTTGTGGTTGAAGTGAGTGGAGCCAGGCGAGAGGTGAGGCACACATACAGATAGAAAATACACATCGGTGTAGGCCGACACTTTTTTTCGGCATATGGACGCCCATTCCGACGGAATCTTTTCCGAAATCGAAGGACGCACAAATTGTACATGTTTTTTGGGCCAAAACAACACATAAATGCAGTGGCAACAACCGCTAACACAGCCGGGCCCCCCCCCACACACACACACACACACACACAAGCATACAATACACATACACTGCGTGTCACGTTCCATAGCAAAACCTTGACCGATCGGCCCACCCACTGGGAGGCGGCGGACACCGACAGAGACAGCTCCCCTTCCCGCCCCACAAGTATTGCGCAAAACGAAATTCGTCCAACTTTTCGGATGAAAAGAAAGCATTCAGCTTCTGTTTCTTTCCCACCTCCCACTATTGCCGCCCCACCGGCATGGTCAGTGCCTCTTAGTCATGGCGCTAGTTGCGGCACGTAGAAAGGATGCCGTTGCCTCCCACCAGTGCCGTCGCCAACAGCAATTGCAGCTGCATGCAGCATAATAAAAATAGTCATTCATTCCTACAGATACAGACGAGAGAGTGCGAGAGAGGCAATCGGGAGCGCATATACAATTTAAACATTAATAGCACTTTCGCTAAAAACTCGTCGCTGTGCGCACACAGTCCCATCCAACATCCATCGACTATATTCATTGAGTAATCCGCCCCGGGTTCGGAGCTTTTGCAGTCTCCAAGGGAACTACCCGGACGCCACCCACCCACCATCCCATCCCTTCTCAGTCATTTGTTTTGTGCGATAATCGTTATCAATATAGTTTGTGAGTGGAGTGCTTGAGCTATCAATGGTATGTATGTATGTACATATATGAATGTATGTATATACGGAGTTATGATGATGCATCCAGTGCAGGGCTACGGCATCGTAGCGCATTCGAATGGGCGGCTATTCGCGAACAATCGGATTCGGAACTGAACTGCCGAACTGTGGGGCGCCGGATCGTGTTGGGGATAGATAGAAAAGATATCTTTGAAATCGGCCAGTACACGCGTGAACGATGCCGTGCGTTGACGGCGGTTTTTAGTTCGGAAAGATCTCGCAGCAGTCAGACGACGGTAAACATCGAGTGTACATATAATACATATAACATATATCCATATACATATACATATGTATGTATGTACGTATGTATATCTTCTATTCACACAACATTGCGCGGACTACTCCAACTGAAGTTTCTAAATACAACGAGGAATCGTTCTATAAATAGAGCCAATGAGTGCTTTCGTAATAGGGGGAATCGCAGTGTAGTGTGCGGAATAAAAGTTTTTGATTCTCCAATATTGCAAGCAATATGAACTGCTGCAACATAGCAGCGATTTCCGGCAGGCGATGCGGACATATCTCTGTTCGTTCTGCCTGCCCCATAGTACTGGTTTGTGTATACGTGCCCCAAAAGATTTCACAGTACCCAAAATAGTTTCAAAAATAGCACAAATATATGCAAGCAAGGCATACCACGCTTTCTGCTTTCCTGCTTTCAGCCGTATAGAACGTATGAGTGTTCAAATAGATAACTCGCGATATCATCGTTTTCTGTAAAACTCAAAACACAGAGAGAGGGGAAAAAACATTTGCCGAAAGATCCATCGTCATCATGTAAATAATGCTGAGAGGGGCGGCGCGTACAAAAAGTGTTGAAAATTCGAACCCATTCTGATTGATAGGCAGGCAGAGTAGTGTAAGTACATACGCATACGGGATGCAGATCTTTCTCTCTGTCTGTCTGTCTCGCAAGGAACCTTCGCATTTACAAATAGCCAGATATACGCGTATTCAAAACGCTCCCAACGAGCTGCTTTGAATATTTTTGTTTGCTTCTTTTTTTCACTCGGACTTGGTTGCCTTTTTCCGTCCATTTCGATGTGTCGCTGTCGCCGCCTGATTTTATTTTTAGCAGGCAACGATTTTTTTCTTTATTTTGATTTCTGCTGCTGCTCGACGATATATTAGCATTTTTTTATCCCCATCTCACACTTTGCCTCCTCTCCCTCGCCTCGGGCTGTATGTCGTGTTTTGGACCATCCAACATCCAACATGTGTTTGAAATAGCAACCACATTTATATTGCCGATTGGCGTGCATCCACTTGTATCTCTCTCGCTCTCTATAAACTGCTGCAATGTTTGTGGCTATTTTTGTGCATCGAAATTGGAAAAACATTGCAAATATTTAAAGCAGCAAAGTGCTTTGGACGTTTCTAATTAGATGTTGAACAATTTCAATTACAGAAAATTATCTGCAAATAGATCCAATCCGATCCTAGCAAAGCTTTGCTAATCTACAATCGATCTGCAAATACGTTAACGTAATCCCTGACTACCGCTAACTGTAGGGCTTACGTTAGGAATCTGGCCATCTGATTTTGCTAGAATTTTCTATAATTCCATAATTATTATTTATAGTACTGCATATAAATAAGTAATTAATACATACATACATATACATACTCCCACTGCTACTGGCAGGCAATTTGCGCATTGCCAAAATATTGGTACAACTTCCGTTACAATGTCGTAGGGGAAGGGGAAGGGAAGGGGGCCGCAATGCCGCAGCGCCACAGGCTGTTCTCTTCTGTTCTGTTGTGCCCAACAAAGAAGCGAACGGAATGGAATGACATTTGCCACGAAATTTATGCATACAACGGTGGCAATTATGATGACGTTAGTTGAAAAATGAAGGCAGCAGAGTGCCGACGACGACGTTCCGGAATAATCTTTACGCAGGGCAGGCATCCTCCGGAGCCAGCCAGCTAGCCAGCCCCACCAGCAACGGGTCTGGCCTCTGATTGTTTATGAAATTCCACTGCGCGTTAGTCATAATGTCGATTTTGGATGGTGGGTTATATGTACATTTGTATATGTGGTGGCAACAACTGTGGCTCGTCGCGTACAAATAAGGCGCGAAAAGCGTACACCCCAGCACGTCAATGGATGGACGCGAATGATGCTAAAGGCGGAGAGTTTTCTTGGTTCTGTTGCTTTCTTTTTGTTCCCCTCCGATTGGGGTCGAAAACAAGAAGATTTTCGTGGCTTTCTCTTCCTTATTTACATTCAGCAGCAGAAGGCTCGTCATCATGATGACCAGCAACTTGTCAGGGGGTTGGAACACTTGGAACACGTCAAGTGAAATGAGTGAAATGACAACTCCTTAGATTTAAATTTTATTTAATTTACACAAATAAATACTTTACAAAATTTTCTATCCTCCTCTTTGTCTGTTCTCGCAGGACTTTCCCCAGCTTTTTGCTTGAAAACATCCAGGAACTACGATATGACAGACAAGGAGATCGAGCAGTGCACCGTTTCTGTCTTCGACCAGACACCAGGCTCAGAGCAGAAGAAGATCAATGTGGTGGTGCGGCCACATTTTACTGTCCAGCGGGTCATAGAACTGATCGGCACGCAGTTTTCCTACGGAAAATTTGAGCTTATTCTCCAGCCCCAAGAGGGCAGGGATCTGGTGAGTCACCCCCACCCCATAGCTACACCAAACGCCTGCTAATCTGGCTCGCTTTCTGCTCCCCAATAGGTCCACCTAAACACTCTGGGCACTCAGCTACTATACGATGTGAACGGTTTTGAGCGACAGCAGATAAATCATCTGGTACTGCTGCCAGCTGGCAGCTGGGAGGGCGATGTGGCCAAGCGCTTTGAGCTGCCCATAAAGAAGGCTCAGGTTGTGGTCAGTCTGCGCCCCAAGGACCCAAACGCAAAGTCCAGCGATCTGAAGACCAAGACCTCAGCCACTGGCGAGAAGAAGAAAAAGGTGGTGGGTGAGAAGACAAAAAAGAAGTCCTTATCGGGCTCATCTTCACCGAGCAAGACCAAGGCAGCGAGCGAAGAATCTGCTCCCAGCACTAAGGCAAGCCCAGATCAGAGTCCAAAGGCAAGCGGAAGCTCAGAGGACAAGGCAAAGGCAAGCGGAAGCTCAGACGACAACCCAACGGCAAGCGGAAGCTCAGAGGCCAAGGCAAAGGCAAGCGCCAGCTCAGAAGAGAATCCAAAAGCCGGCCTCAGCTCAGAGGACAGCCCAAAGGCAAGCGGAAGTGCAGAGGACAGGCCAGGGACCATTACTGAGGTCAAACCAGAAGTCGCTATTGATGTCAAGCCAGAAGAAAGTTCTGACATCAGTCCGGTCCACGCAAAATTAGTGTTCAAGAAGAAGGAGAAGGCTACCAGCGATGACTGCTACGGCCTGCCCATGGACGAGCTAAACAAGGCGGTGACACATGATCTAATGTCGCCTGTCGACGATCTACCCTCGGAACTGTTCAACGTGAGTCCCGTTTCGGATGCAGAACCACTGTCGGACGATGACCTGGCCCTGGGCGCCTCGGCCAGTCCCACACTGATGGGACCCGGCTATGAATTTGGACCAGCCGTGGGCGATGGTGAGGGGCCGGTCGGTGAGGGTGACCAGGCAGCTGGCGGGGCAGATGCGGGCGAAGATCCGGGTATCTCCAGTTTCTATCGGCGCAAGTACGGCGGCGACGAGTTGTCCTCATGGCAGCGCATGAACTCAACGGCGGCAGAGCTGGTGGCCTCCGCCACCACGGAGAGTGAGCCGCGACCCACTGCTGGCCCCAAGGGATACGTGGGATTGGTCAATCAGGCCATGACCTGTTACCTAAACAGTCTGCTGCAGGCGCTCTACATGACGCCCGAGTTCAGGAACGCGCTCTACCGATGGGAGTTCGACAATGACAACGAGGCGAAAAATATCCCATATCAGCTGCAGAAACTTTTCCTCAATCTGCAGACATCGCCCAAGTCCTCGGTGGAGACCACGGATCTGACGCGCAGCTTTGGCTGGGACTCGACGGAGGCGTGGCAACAGCACGACATCCAGGAGCTGTGTCGCGTCATGTTCGATGCGTTGGAGCAGAAGTTCAAGAACACTAAGCAGGCGCATCTCATCTCAAATCTCTACGAGGGCAAGATGAACGACTACGTTAAATGTTTGGAGTGCAATACGGAGAAGACGCGCGAGGACACCTTCCTGGACATACCGCTGCCGGTGCGTCCGTTTGGCAGCAACTCTGCCTATGGCAGCATTGAGGAGGCCCTGCGCGCCTTCGTTCAGCCAGAAACGCTCGATGGGAATAATCAGTATCTGTGCGAGAAGTGCAAGAAGAAGTGCGATGCTCACAAGGGGCTGCACTTTAAGTCCTTCCCCTACATCCTGACACTGCACCTGAAACGCTTCGACTTTGACTACACATCCATGAACCGCATCAAGCTGAACGACAGGTAAGCGAAGTGCCCAGGGTGTGCCTGGGATAATAGCAACTGCCGTTGTTGTACATTAATCGATTTTCCATGGCGCAGAGTGACCTTCCCGCAGAAGCTCAACCTAAACACGTTCGTCAATCGCAGTGCCAACGGCGAGCAGTATCAAATGAATGGTGGAACAGCTGCTGAAGATTGCAGCACGGCCGACAGCGGCTCCACGATAGAGGATGATAACCTGAGCAGCGGCGTGGGTACCACTGCCAGCTCCAGCCAGCACGAGAACGATCTGAATGACGAGGACGAGGGCATCGACATGAGCAGCAGCACCAGCAAGAGCGCCAAGCAGGGCACGGGACCGTATATGTATGAGCTCTTTGCCATCATGATCCACTCGGGCAGCGCCTCGGGTGGGCATTACTATGCCTACATCAAGGACTTTGACAGCAACGAATGGTTCTGCTTCAACGATCAAAATGTGTCCTCGGTAAGTCTTAAATTTTCTCCTCTCTCAGTCTGCCAGTCTGCTTTCATGTAATTACTCTGGAAATAGATCACACAGGAGGATATACAGCGCTCGTTTGGCGGGCCCAATGGCAGCTACTACTCCAGCGCCTACACCTCTAGCACCAATGCCTACATGCTGATGTACCGCCAGGTGGATGGCAAACGAAACGAGCACACCGCCAAGGTGGCTGACTTTCCCGAGCACATCAAGACGCTGCTGCCAAAGCTGCATACGGAGGAGGAAACGCGCGTGACACGCATCGGACGGCACACCACTGTCACCGATCTGGCGCTGCCGGATCTGTACAAGCCGCGCGTCTACTTCTACAATCCCTCGCTCAAGAAGATGAAGATCACGCGGGTCTACCTGTCCCAGAGCTTTGACATCAATCTCGTGCTGACGTCCGCCTACGAGATGTTGAATGTGGAGCAATTTGCGCCCATTGCCCGGTGTCGCCTAGTGGCCTACAACTCGACCATGGACACTATCATTCAGTCGCTGGAGAGCTACACCGATCCGGCGCTGACGGAGCTGCGGGCCGCACAGAATCACAATCTAGACTTTCTGCTGGAGTACCGGGCCGAGGATCAGACATTCGAATTGTACGCGCCGGATGGTATCACTTGGTATGTGTTTATGGTAGATCTATCGACGATGGCCATGGACGGTCCCTTCCTGGTTTACTCAGCAGCGCGGGAACGAGAGCCCAGTGACGTTCTGCGTCACTCCATTGCCGTGCGATTGCACATCAACGAGCAGCACTTTCTGCTCGCCACCGTACGCAGTACCGTCGCGAAGGCCTTTGTGGTCTATGATCCCCATCCAACGCCGGAGGCGCAGCAGCAGCTCCAGACTCTCGCCAACGGCCAGTTCAAATATATCACATTTTACTACTTGAATGTCCCCAACACAGACGCCGCCAGTCTCGAGATGTTGGGCGTGCCAAGCAGCGAGTGCCGCCTCGAGGTGAGTTGAGTTTTTCTTTCCGCTCTCAATCCCTGAACGTTGCCTGATCTCCCACTTTTGCAGCCTGCTCCTGGCAACGGTGCGGATGTTGTCGATGCCGCCATGATGAACGGCATCGGTTCCGGATCGGGACAGGATTTCTCCAGCAATGACTCCGATTGGAGGTACAAGCGGGATATGCTGGAGCCCCTGAACCAGCCGAGCCATGGCCAAGAGTCCAATTCGGAGGACAGCAGCCTGAGCGATGGCGATCGCACACTGGTGGAGTCCGACAACATACAGAATCGCGGCGGTGGCGACAGTCAAGTGAGCTCCACCAGCCATTCACCGCAATTGTCTAGTCCCGAGGATGAAGCCGCCTCCCACGATTCCATGATGCGCGTACGCGCCTACTGCAATGGCAGCTACACGGCCGCCGATGCCGTGGAGCCCATCCATCTGCCCACGAGCAAAACGCACTTTTTCCATGCCTGCAAGGTGGAGTGCGTGGACGTGACCAGCAGCACCAGTTCGGGCCATCAGTCCGATGACGAGGCACAGCTGAGGAAACCCACCCGCGCCTACAAACTGCTGGTGGGCCACCACATGCGGATGACCACCTTCAAGCAGCACATCGAGCAGCTGATCCAGGTGCCCAGCGCCTACTTTAAGCTGCAGAGGAAGCATGAGAACACTGCCTTCAACAGCCAGAGCTCGGTGGTCATCCTTAACGAGGGCGAGACCCTGACCGTGGAGCTTGGCAAGACCCTGCAGTCGGACGAGTACAAGGCGAAGATCCAATTCTTGCGACTGGCCGATGTGGACAATGAAACCTCACGGCTGCCCTGCGCCTGTGAGTGGGTGTACAATAGCAGCACCACAGTCGAGCAGGCCAAGTACGAACTGGTGGCGAAGCTGCATCGCATGGATGCCAAGTACTCTACCCTCACGGTGGACAATTGCCGCATCTGGCTGAAGGGCGGTCGCAGCTCCATCAAGATACTGGCCAACGATGAGCTCCTGTCCAGCGACATCAGCTCTACAGTCACCGCGGAGGTAAGTTCCACAGCGATGCTTTCGTTGGAATTTGTGTTTTGATAATATTGTGTACTGCCCTCGCAGTTTATTGTGCAAGAGTGCGAGGAGGGTGTCGATCCGCAGCCCAAGGATGATTCTCTGACCATATTCGCGAGGCGCTGGTGTCCCAGCAAGCTGGAGTTTGGCAAATTCCAAGAAATCACATTGGAAAGTAAGTCTTAGGGCATAGAAACTGTGTGGGGGATGGTCTCTCATACACTTACTTTCATTTGCAGAGGACAGCGAGATAAGGCAAACATTGTCAGAGATTAGCAGCATCACAGTAGATAAATTGAGCTACATGAAGGTAGGTGCCGCCACAACTGAACACTCAACTGAATTCACGCATTGATTTGATTTATTGTACGGCAGGTAAACAGTAACTTCCCCTGCACAAGCATATCAGCACTCAGTGTGAACGAGTCAAGCAGCTGGTACTCGGTGCCGACAACCAGGGACAAGCATCCGCTAAGCACCACACAGGCGGGCAGCATTTTCTTATACAAGTTAGTAGCGAACGGGGGGAAGAGCAAAAAGGGTTGACTAATTGTTGTATCCCTCCACAGAGATAAGAGCATACCCGCGCGAGAGCTGACGCAGGAGGAGCGCCGCCAAATTGATACCCGGGAGAAGGCTCGCCTGGATCGTTTGGGTTGTGTGACCACCACACGATATTCGCAGCGGCGCGAGCGAGCGCTTAAAATCTACGTAGACTCGCCGGAGAAGACAAACAACGCCACAGCCTCGGCGCCCATGGATGCGCATGTCGGTAATTAGTCTTGCATGGGGAGCTGCCGCTTGCAATAGTAGATGTTCAGAAGAAGATCTATAGAGTCCTATAGCTATAGCTACCAGCTAAGCAAACGGCAGACCATTAAATGCCACACAAACCTGTTATAGTCTAAGGTTCTCCTCTCATCCTGCTTCAATCTATTACCAGCATAGCATACTCGTATTTCGTTTCGATGTTTGTGGGCGGCGGGGATGAAGATGGGTATGCGGGGATGGTGGGCTGGGCTAAGCGGCAGCAGTAACGAAGTTATTCTTGCAACTTTCGTATTACAAGAGTTCAAAGATGAGACTGTGTAAAATTTAAACTAAAAACGCAAAACAAAACGCCAGATGCAAGAAACCTAAATTAAAAATTGTAAAATGTGAATGTGAACATGAAAAACAAAACTAAATTAAATCTTATCAAATAAAAACAATAGTCTCGAGTGCATTTATTCTGCAACGACTGCGCAATGGAGTTAGAGGAGACGCTGACCTGAGGGCTGCAGACAGACAACCAGAAAGCCACCTGAAATTTTATCAGGTATATCGTATGGTTAGTTTCAGAACTCAGCAGATACAGCAGCGAGCTAGCAACAGCAGACCAGCAGCTCTTCATATTGAAACAGTGTATTAAACTCGAAGCAGAGAATAGCTAGAATTTCACATTTTAAAAACGGGGTATGGTTTAAGCGAGCTAAAATGTTTTTTTGCTTGTATTTTTCATATGCAACTATCGACAAATTATCGAAAAGGTTTGAGAAATAATCGAAAATGATCAATACATTTTGGAGTAATTAATCGACAAATGAAAACCAGGGTTGAATTTATCGGTTGTTTTTTGTTTATATAGAAAAAGTTAATTTTATTTAATACCTACTACGCAGCGTTGATAACGTTTTTTGTTTCATCTTGAATTATATTTAAAGATCATGTTTAGCGTTAAAATTGTTACAATTTGACGACAGTTCTTGCATTATTCGTTGTAAAACCGATTAAACGAAAACAGTCACAGTCCCCCGGGCGCACGCTTTACAATAATAAAGTATATTGAAAGAGGTAAAAGTAATAGCGGCCCCAGTGGTGGCTGCACCACATTAATGCTGGAAGGAGGGTAGGGTAGGGTAGGGAAGGAAATGCTTGTGGTTTTCCCTGGCGTGTATGTATGTGTGTACAAATAAAAAACTTCGATCTGTTTGCCGTTATTTTGTCAAAATTGTGTGATTCCTTGGGGTTTATGAAGGAGCCTGCGGCAGCAGTAGGCAGCGCGTTAGTTGTTCTCGTGGATGCTCATCTGGGTTTTAGGGGGGGCTCGGTCGGGGCTCTATGCCTTGGCCTCAACGGCCGCCGGCGCGGAATCTACTTTAGTCGCCGCAGCAGATGCCTTCTTGCCTTTTCCCTTGCCCTTGACGGGTCCCAGTGGCTGCGCGACCAGTGTCTGAAACGCATAAGAAGATTAGATACGATCGAGAATGCATTGTAAGCGATATGGACTCACCTTCAGCTCTTCCTGCGCAATGCTGTACTCGCTGGCGAAGCTGTCCACATTGAATGGTATGCCGGTAACCAGATTAACGCCATTGGGCATGAGCAGAATCGTGTGCTTGAACTGCGCCACAACCTCAGCTGCAATGATAAAATTACAATTATTAAATGTTCAACTGGGGTTTCCAAGTGGATTGGAGTGTGGCAATGGCATGTTCAGACAGAGGCCATTTTGGGGCAACTGCTGAAGACGCCAAAGCTTGGGGTTTGCTCTGGCAAAATGTCTGGCCGTGTTTGATAGCCAAAAGGTGAACCAAATCCGGAATTAAGTTTTGCCAATGAATAATAATAATAATAAACTGTCGCTACAGTCGCTAGTGACTTACTTGGCTTCTCGTACAGCACTTGGAAGGGCTCAATCATCTTGTGCGAGACACACTCGACGACGCCCATGCGTGCCTTGGTCTCCTCCTCGAAGCTGCGGATGTTGAAAGGCATGTTCCCGTACTTTGTTTTCACCTCTGCCAGCAGGGCACGGGATGCCTTCAGCTTAAGCATGTAGTTCTCCTCGGACTTCTTGTAGATGGAGACCTTGGTGTCCTTCTCCCGTCCCTGCAACACAATTAAAGATTCTTAGCTTTCTATTGAACTCTGAAATTCGATTCTCAGTGTCCTATTGCGTTCTCAGATCTCATAATCTAACAATCTCCGGCCAGCAGCCAGCGCAGCCTTGTCGCTGGTCACGTGCCGGGCTTACAAACCAAAGCCCGCCGAGCGTACAAGACGCTTACATGACATGACGCCGTAGCCTTGCTTGGCCAGCCTCAAGCGCATTGTTTTAATCATCGAACAGAAGGAGGGTTTAGCTACGTTTTAGAAGATTACTAACCACGCCCTCGCCGCTGCTCACAATCACATCGATGGCATACACTTCGTACGTGTCAAAAGTGCACTTCTCGTGCTCCTTGCGCTGCGCCTCGCTAGGATTCTGTATGATTGTCTTCTCGCCATCGATTTTGAACTGCTTCAGCTCGTGGCTCAGCATGCCCTCAATCGGCTTGCACTTGTACGATTCGCTGATTTGTTGCACGGCATCGGTGATGGCATAGTTCTGCAAGAAGAAATAACAATTATTATATCCGCTTCATGTACGACTACACAGATTAAGATGATTTTGTTTAAGATGTAGACAACTTTAAAGACCGAACATTTCTATCACATAAACTTGTTCAGTTCACGAAATTGACAATTGATATCTGCAGGCGTTTTGTATGTACTGTGCGAAAGGGTTAAGGCAGCAGCCATTTAGCTTTGCCTGCAGACGGAACATGGATTTTTACAGTTGGGAAACACTTACATTGGCACCGGACTTTAGCAACCGCAATGCAGCCTGAACGGACCAGTAGGCGGCCAGAATTACATCAGCATGGCGTCCGCTGATCTTTTGATCTGCGCTGGCACCAACCACAATTGTGTGAGCGGCCACTGCGATGAAACCATCAATGTGCGCTCCCAAGTCACTGTTGAAAGAAATAACATTGAGGATAAGTTAGCGCAGGAGCATTTTGAATATCTTTTACATACATTTTAACGACATCGCCGGCCTTTAACGTGTAGTCGGGGTCGTTCTTTGCTGGCGAGAAATGGCAGACACAATTGTTGACGGACAGGCATGTCGGGAATGCGATGCCCTTCTTCAGGTCCTTTTCCTTTTTGTATACCTAAGGGAAAGCTGTCCTTATTAATACTGTACAATCAGAATGCAAAACTCTTGCGTTGGCCAATATGTCCTCAGATCTCATAATCTGCGAATCTTTGGGACCAATGGCGAGAGCGAATGCCCGTGGCACGTGGGGGACATATCCCAAACGTGCGCCTGGCGACCACGCGGCCGCCAGCCCCACACAGCACGCGACTCGCATTGGATATCCTCAAGCGTGTAGTTTTTAATCATTGGACAAACGGCAATTGGGCAATGGAAAATTCCAGTATGAACTTACTTTGCCGGTTTCTTCAGTCAGCAGATTGTCACCCTGGGTGCAAATCTCCCTCGCGGAGGCATCAGCCACGCACAGTCCGATCACCGCCTTGAGTGTTTCTATAATTAAACAAAGGCAAATGTCCAGAAATAGTCGGATTTATCAACGTTGCGCCAGTGATGTGATGTGCAGTGCATGTGCGTGGCAGCGCTACAGCCACAGCCAAAGCGAAAGCGGACATTGGGGAAGCATTGTGTAAGCGCCACGTAGCGCCGACAAATCACTTTCACTTTGCGAATAAAAGACTTCACTTACTGTTTACGATTTCGCCGGCCAATTTGTACTTGGTTACAACCAAATCCTCGGCAATAGTCTTCTCGGGCTGCTCCTTTTCTGCGTCTGCCATGGTGAAGTCAACTTACAGTAATTTAAAAATGGCGACTTTAAATGAAAATGCGACTCTCCAGTGACAAATGAGACCACGTGTGGTGTGACCGAATCGTTGCCTCAAAAAAATCTTCCTGTCAGTGTAATCCCACCAGTGCTGGAAAATTTTTAAAAGAAAAAATAGCTTTTTTTCTGTAAAAACATGAGAAGGTTCTATATAAAAAGAGACCATTTTTTGTCATGAGAATCAGAATTCTTCTGTACTTTTGCTGCACTGCATTGTTGTGGCAAATCATAGTAATATATATTTTCAATAGCAGACTTCCGCATCGAAAAAAATTTTTAATTTATCTAGCCTAACTTTATCTAACTTTAAAATAGCTTGAAAAAAACTCACTTGGCAACACTTGTTCACACAAATGTGTCGTGTCGTTGTGCAGGACTACAAAAACCAGTGCTGCGTAGGGGTCAGAATTCGCTTAGATGCCCAGTCATCTTTTTGTTGTCGGTTCCAGTTTTTGCAATTAAAGCATATTAACGATGGCTGTTCGCGTTATTAACGACGAATCACATTTCCAAGCTGAATTGGCCCAGGCTGGTGTCCGCCTGGTAGTGGTGGACTTCACGGCCACTTGGTGCGGCCCATGCCAAAGAATTGCACCTATTTTCGAGCTATTTCCCAATAAGTACCCAAATGCCATCTTCCTGAAGGTGGATGTGGACAAATGCCAGGACACGGCCGCTGGCCAGGGTGTGTCGGCCATGCCCACGTTCATATTCTACAGAAACAGGACCAAAATCGATCGCATTCAGGGCGCTGACGTTAACGGACTGGAGGCCAAGATTCAGGAACATATTGGCACTAGCAGCGGCGAAGAGGCCGGCGAAGATTATGGCCAGGGTCTGGTAAGAGCATCCAAATACACGCAGCAAAATAAATAAATAATATGGACATCCCTTTCCCTGCACAGATGGAGCTCAATACATTCATCTCGAAGCAGGAGTGCGAGTGCCTGAATGAGGCCGACGATCACAATCTCAAACATGCCCTAGCCTCAGCCGGCGGCTACTTGCAGTCCGACTGCGATGAGCAGCTGATCTTATCCATCACTTTCAATCAGGCCGTAAAGATTCATTCGTTAAAGTTCAAGGCTCCGTCTCAGCTGGGTCCCAAGGATGTGAAGCTGTTCATCAATCAGCCGCGTACCATTGACTTTGATATGGCAGAGTCCATGAGCAGCGTTCAAGATCTAACGTAAGCTCGGGTTGCATTACTCCTTTATGATATAATTAATTGCCTTTCCCCCCATTGATAGCTTGGCCGAAAAGGAGCTGGAGAACGGTGCACCAGTCAATCTGCGCTATGTGAAATTCCAGAATGTACAAAACATACAGATCTTCGTGAAGAACAATCAGTCGGGCGGCGATGTGACACAGATCGATTATATTGGCTTTATCGGCTCCCCAATCATGACAACAAAGATGAACGATTTCAAGCGTGTGGCCGGCAAGAAGGGCGAAAGCCACTAGGACAGTCACCTCAAAAAAAAAAAAACTGAAATTTAACGTTTTTCCAATGTTTTTGCGGCATTTCTTTTTAAACTTTCGACTTACAACTAAGCAATGTACATCAAAATGCATAAAGAATCATATAAAAACGGTTTAACAATCAATCAATTTCACGCCCCAAAATATCCCCTGTAGTAGTCTCGGAGTTAGAGGCTGCTGCTGTGAGGCAGCACAAGGTCTAGCTCACTGTTGAGCATCTTCCAGGCCCGATCCGCCTGCTTTTGGGTAAAATCATAGTCCCACTGCGAACTGAAGATTACATGGGATTTGGCCACAATTTCATGGTTTGGCACTTGGCTGGACAGACGTTTTCTGGCCTCCTCCTCGCTGAGGCTATTGCGTTCCATTACCCGCTTCACCGCCTCCTCGGGCGGCACTATCATGGACCACACCTCGTGGCAGTTGTTCTCCCAGCCGGCTCGCAGCAACACCGCCGCCTCCAGTACCACCACCTTGGGCACCACGGTGCCAGCTCTCAAGGCATCCAGCCGTCTGTTGACCTCCTCAATCAGCTGCGGCCAGACGATGCCGTTGAGCGCCTCCAGCTCTAGGGGATTGCCAAAGACCAGGGGACCCAGCTGGGCTCGATCGATGCGACCATTGGCAGATAGAATTGCTTTGCCAAAGTGTTTCACGATCCTCTCGTAGCACACCTGACCCGGCTCGTACACATCGTGGGCCACCTTGTCACAGTCGATGACATGGGCACCCATATTGCTCAGCCTTTCGGCCATTTTGCTCTTGCCCGAGGCGATGCCGCCAGTCAGGCCGATGATGTACGGCCGCGCAGGCAAGTGGGGACGGGGTTCCGGCTTTCGCCAACGCGAGCCCAACAGATCGATGCGCGTGTTGCTGGAGCTGACCTTCGTTTCGTGAATGCCATCGTGGACATTGCTCTCCACGATGTCAATGGCAAAGATGTCCAGCTCACGGAGCTGCTTGGCGGAGCGAATTTCGTTGACCTTTTGACCGCCACGCAGGGTCTCGGCGCTGACCACGATCATGTCCATGTCCGGATCATGCTGCGTCGGCCCGAAAGGGTCATCGATGGGCACAATTTCGTACTGCAGCGTGCTGTCAATGTCCGTGAGGAACTCTCGCAACTGCGCGATACGTTCCTCCACGGGTAGTATCAGATCGGGCAGAGTCTTCGCTGAAGGTGAGTAATAGATAAGAAACTATTGCCGACTCATTCAAAACTTACACTTTGTCATGGCGGCTGTCGTGACGCCCACCACCAGACGCTGGCAAGTGCGCAGCACCGCCTGCGTGAGGAATATCTTGTGGCCCAGATGGATGCGATCGAAGGTTCCGCCCAGGACCACCGACGGATACATTTTGTTCGACGGCGAGTTGTCCTCCTGCGAGCCCAGATCCGTGCAGCTGCTGTCCTCCAGGAAGATGGTGGGCTGGCTAATGTTCAGGGCAGCCCGAAGCTTTTCACACAACTCCGGATGGTGGGCATCCGAGAATATCATATCCACGGGCTTGCGCAACTTCAGGGGTCCGTCCACGCCGGGCCTCAGGGGGGACACAAGCACCCGCAGATCGATCTGATTGCCCACATAACTGCTGCTGTTGGCATACAACTGCGAGATCAGACGACCCCAGACGGGCGGAGCAGGCGACGAGTTGGACGTTGACCCCGCCACATTCAGGTGTATGTACAGTGAGCTGACATATTTCTCAATGCTACGCAGGGATTTCCCCAGTTGCTTAATGTTGGAGACAACCAACAAACCCGTGGATGCCATGTTCGAACTTGAAGTTGAACTTTTGATTGCGAATGTGACGTCGTTTTGTGGCGTTACCAGACTCGTGCAATTCGTAGTTGCTGCGAGCTGCCATACCATGATATTTTGTGATATGGAATTCGTCAATTTTGATATTCCGTTTAATATTACTGGCAAGTTGGCCCTCTCAGCCCTAAAAAAATAATTTTTCCAATTATCCAATTTCCCATACAAATCAAATACATCTTACGGGAACGTTCCCGTTAAGAACATGTTTCTCACACCACGAAAATGCGGGGTAAGTCCCTACGAAAACGCTCTCTTCACATCAAAAAAGAGAGCAAATTTTTAAAAACCACGATTTGAGAGCGAATAATATCGATATTTTTGTACGATAAGTGGAGTTTGGTGGTCATTTTCAAATGTACATATATGGAAAAATAAATAGTTCACTTGATTTGTTTTGTCGAGTGTGACTGGTACCTCAGAAAACGAGAAAAATGTTTGCGACCAGTTAAGCCAAATACCAGATTTTCAAAACATATGGAATTGAAACAAAAAAATACGTAAAATAACCCCCATACGAGATTGAAACAAATAAATACTATGCAAATAAAAAATACTTCTTGAGAAGATACCGAAATGAAAAAAATCCCGAAACTCCCGCCAATATTTTAAAGATGCGAAGGTATATTTTGGTATATTTCTGAGGGTCAGACGGTATATTTGGTCGATAAGTCCACGGTCACACTGACCAAATTTTGTGAAAAGAGTGACCAGACCTCCTCCAAATTGTGGAATTGTTAGCAAATTTGTGCGCGGTCACACTAAGCAGAAAAACTTTAAAAACTCTATGCACATGTGCTCTGTTAAAAATGTGCTCGAACTATTGTTGAAAAAATTCCGATTTTATTGAAAATGTCAAGCCGGAAGGCGTTGTGTTCCAATTCCGAATAAATCGAAGCGTAAATTCTTGCCTAGAGCCCTAAAAAAAGTGTCGGAGTGTGTGTGTGATAGTGTGCGTGTGTCGGTCGTCCGCAGTCGGCGAGAAGCAAGGCAAAGAGAGAACCGAAAAGTGGTAGCGATTGTGGCAGCGCGGCAACGAACGTCGGTGAAGGACGTGTCGCGGTCGGAGACGAGACAGGGGGCTGGACTACTACTATTATCGTGGGCGGAGGATCTGCAAGGATCTCAAATGTGCCGACGCAGCTAACCGAAGCCGCCGTCAGCAGCAGCAACAGCAGTCATAGAAAAGGCGGATGCGGTTCATTTCCCTCCTCCCCACCGTCGCCCCCATTATTCTCAGCCTTATTCTTGGTTATCACCCGTAACCGCTGCGACTTTGAGTTGTCCCAGGAAGCGATAGCAGATATTCTTCAAAATTCCTCCACAAACACCCACGAGCAGCAGGAGCATCGCCATGCCCGTTTCAATGGCTGTATGCGAAACGGCAAATGTCGTCAGCGCTGCGCTCCGCGAATCGCTTGGCGTCGGGAACGGCAGCAGGGCTGCTGACGAGGCCAAAAAAACCGGCGGGGGCGGTGGCGGCGGCGACGACTCTGATTCTGAAATCCATAATCAAATTGCTGTCGGTGCGTATGCAAAGCGGATTCTGATGTCCAAAATCGAGTACGAGGAGGTACCCAGCTACAAGGAATCTGTGCTGGATCATCTGAAGAGCAAGTACATCGTCATCAAGCAACCCAGCAACAGCAACAACAGCAGCAGTTGCAACGGGAGCAACTTTGGCAGCAGCAAAGTTGTGGGAGCAAATGGACACGGTGAGTAGCGTTGGGCGACGATAAAGAGAGGAGGTGGAGGAGGGAGAAGTTGTCCCAATCGCTTAGCTTAATAGTTGATTTTCTTCGTATCCGTCTCTCTCTCTTGTGTTTCTTTGTGTCGCAATTTGAAAAATTTTCCATGTGCGTCTCTTGCTTTTGCAGACGAACACAAACATACGCAGAAATACATGCATGTGTACATATATTTTATGTTTATTTTAGCCAAAACTATGGCCTGGTCAGAGGAATCACGTGTGTGTGATTTTTCCGCTTTAATTTTTACACTCTTTCTTGGCTTTGCTGCAGTTTGCCGGCAGCGGCGCCGGCAGCGCGGCCAACGCGAGCAGCATACCTGTACTTTTTGTTGCGTGCGTATACATTGGGGTTTGTCTGTTTGTGTGCGAGTGTGGGAGAGAGATTGCGATTGGGTGGTGTACGTGTAAACAGTGTGAAAGGAAATGTGAAAAAAGCAAAACAAGTACAACACCGCAAAGAGTGAGTTGGACAGGCAGTCAACAGTGGTCGAAGAGAGGGGTAGGACAAGGGAGAGCTTACTACGCTAGTTCTGAATCGCCGGATCTGCCGCTAAAGGCGGAACAGTATGAGAATAAAAAAAAAAACGTGCTGCCGTCGCGGCAAACATCAGCACGAAACGGCGGCCCCCTCTCTATGCTCATCTCTTTTGCACGCACACATGGCCTGATGCTGTGCTAGTAATAGTAATTTTATTTGTTTCTTTATGCAGCGTTGCGTAGTTGAATGAATGGGGGAAAAGTAAAAAAAAAAGCAGTTGCGTGAATCACTCATCGTATCTCTTACACGCACACACACCCACACATGTGCTGGCTGGCGTTCGCTCAGCTGCCCCAAGCAGGAAGTTGATACAAAGACAATACAAGGCGTCGTCGCTGTAATAAGATGAGGTGGTCTTGTCTGGGTCTGGTCAATGCCTTGGCCTGGCCAACAAACACAAAGGGGAGCAGAGCATTGTCGTTCCGTGCCTTGCCTACACTTTCAAGTCGCGCAAAAAATTGAGTTGGCAACACTCGTGCTCGTGGCATTTTAATTTGCATAGGCCAGAGTGGGATGGCACTAGTGTTCGAGTCGACGCAGTGTCTGCTTCTCTAACGAGAGGCACTCGCTCGCTGTTATCAACCATGGCGCACCACACAGGTGACCATATGTGTGTTCTGTTTGTGTGTTGCGAGTGTGTGTCAGCAGTTTCCCCAAACGAGCGAGAGTTCTCCCCCATGGGCTTCTGGTCTCCCCTGGCCGTCATGTTCGTTTTTAATTTTAGTAGCAAGCAAGCGCGGAACGAGTACAGAATCTTTTGAATGAGCGGAGTGCTCAATGCATTATGACTGTGATAATTGTGGACAGTTTTGGCCTGTGGCTGCTCTACAAACTGCTCCTCGTGCCTATTTTTCTTATTCTGTGGCGTGTGATCAATCAATTTGCTGGTTTATTCACAGACAATAACGGCAATAATGGCCATCGCAAGCAGTCGCAGTCCCAGTCAGAGTCCAATCAATCGGGTCCCAATCCCAACGAGCTGCCCAAACCGAAGCGCGTGTTGTATCCCCGGGAGAACATCAGAATCGGGTGGAAGCAATCGGAGCGCAAGTGGCAGGTCGGCACGGGCATGATAAATGTGGGCAACACCTGCTACCTCAACTCAACGCTGCAGGCCCTCTTCCACATACCCGCATTGGCCAATTGGCTCGTCTCGGAGCAGGCCCATCTGGAGAACTGCAGCATTACCGAATCCAATGGCGGTTGCATCATCTGCGCCATGGCCAAGACGCTGCAGACGACACAGTCCAGCCAGTCGGCCATGCGGCCGTTCCACATCTACTCGAAGCTCAAGCAGATCTGCAAGCACATGGTGGTGGGGCGGCAAGAGGATGCACACGAGTTCCTGCGCTTCCTGGTGGAGGCCATGGAGAAGGCGTACTTGATGCGTTTCCGCAACTTCAAGGAGCTCGATCAGCTGGTGAAGGAGACGACGCCACTGTATCAGATATTCGGTGGCTACCTGCGCAGCGAGGTGCGATGCCTCAGCTGCAGCCACGTCTCGATCACCTTCCAGCACTTCCAGGACCTGCTGCTCGACATACGCAAGTCGGACACGCTCGAGGAGGCGTTCGACGGCTACTTCTCCAGGGAGCGACTCGAGGACATGGGATACAAGTGTGAGGGCTGCAAAAAGAAGGTGAGTCCGAGAGGGAGTCAGAGGTGTGCTCTTGCGAGATTGATTTCTAATCTTTAATCCAATTGCAGGTCTCGGCCACAAAACAGTTCAGCTTGGAGCGGGCTCCCATCACGCTGTGCATCCAGCTGAAACGCTTCTCGATGATCGGCAACAAGCTGACCAAGACGATCAGCTTCAAGCCACGCATTGACCTGAGTAGGTTTGCAGCCCGCTCGCCGACGGCTGCCGCCCAGCAGCTCACCTACCGCCTCGTTTCCATGGTCACCCACCTGGGAGTTTCGCAGCATTGCGGCCACTACACGGCCATCGGTCTGACCGAGCCGGGCAGCTACTACAACTTCGATGACAGCTACGTGCGGCCCATTGCCATGCAGAGTGTGTGCAACACTAACGCGTACATCATGTTCTACGAGCTGGATCTCGCCCAGACCACACCGCTCAAGAGCAATGGCCTGCGTCTGACCAATGGGCACGGTCCAGTGGCCGTCCCAGCTACAGTCTCCTCCACCATACCCACGCACACACGTTTCATTGGGCCCCAGCTGCCGCCCGGCGGCATCAATGGGTATAGCAATGGTCATGCCAGTAGTCCCCATGCCCAGAAGACTGCCATTCAGTTCAAGCAGCAGCATCAGCAGCAGCCGCTGCACCAACAACAGCAGAACGGTCTCCAAGTGGGGACTGGAAAGTTTCAGGAGTCTGCGCACGCGAAGTCTCCACTGGCTGGCGCATACATTAAAGGCGAAGCTTCTCCAGCTACAACTGCAAATGGTAACAAAAGTTCCTCCTCCTCCGCCAGCAATAGCAACCACAACAAATCGGTGGTGAACCAACAGCACCAGCACCAGCAAAACTATCTGCCAATATCCTCCGAGGATGAGGACAGCGAGGACGAAGCGACGGCAAAGGCCAGGCCGACGGCACAGCTGCCCAGCATGCCGAAAATGATGGAGGACAGCATCAGCAGCGACAAGCCAAAGACTCCGCTAAAGAGCCCAATCAAGACGATTCTTGTTAAGAGTCCAGTCAAGACGCCACTCAAGAGCCTCGTGCCGTACGAGTCCGCCTCCGAGGAGGATGAGCCACTGCCGAATCCACGAAAACGTCGCAGCGATTCAGATTCAAGCGACTCGGACATCGAGCCGGGTCAGAGCAATGGTCACGCGAAGACAAACGGAGGCAGCCTTACGAATGGAAATGGCTTGGGCAATGCCAAGTCTGTTCTGCCCACATCCTCAAGCTCCTCGTCATTGGCGTCCCCGTCCGCGTCAGCGTCCGTCGCTTCGTTGGTAAACGTTAACAACAGCAGCAAACAAAAGACTGATGCCATAGACGAGATATTCAAGAGCCTCAACAACTATCAAAGCAAACACAAGCCACCACAGCCAGCAGCCGACGACGACAGCGATGATGATGAAGAAGAGGAGGAGGAGGTGAACAACAAGCTCACCAACGGCTGGCAGTCACAGAAACAGTCACAATCGCTGTCACAAAGCAAAGCCCCGTCCTCACCCAAGACGCCACCCTCGCCGGCCGTCATTAAATCAAAGACGGGCATCTGGAAGGTCACCCGCAACGATGACAACGAAGATGAGGACGATGACGATGATGATGATGACGATGACGAGGAGGTGCAGGTGGTGCCAACGCCAGCCAAAAACCATCGCAATCCGTTTGCCAAATCCCCCGCAGAGTCGCCCGCAACACCGGGTGCCAAACGGCAGAAGCTGCTCAATGGCACCGCCGTCAAGACGCATCAGACACGCGTGGGCAATGGCTACCAGAGCGAGGCCTCAACCAATGGGAATGTCGTCAACGAGCTGATGAAGCAGTCGCATCGCGGCTACGGCTCTACCTCGGTGCTCAGTTGGAGCGGAAAGCCAGCGGAACTGGACAAGGAGGTGAGTGCAAATATTAACTCTTAAAACTGATTGGAGAGGGGTGAGGGCTCTATGGCTGGCTATACCTCAATCATCTACTAACTAACCTAACCAACAGAACCAAAAAAATCAACGAAATTATTCGTGGTGGCCCTTCTGATTTCTGATTCGATCTCTCTCTCTCTCTCTTCCTGCATGCATTTATCAATTGTGTTGTTGATGTGTGTTGTTCTTGCATTTCTAATAAAAAACAAAACATGTTTGTAATTTTGCTTTCCATTTGTTTCCACACGATTTGTATATCCCCCCAAATCATTTAGACTTTTGAGTTGGTTTGTGCGAAACGGATAGCTGGTCACGGCAATGTGGATGTGGATGTGGATGGTAGCGGCGGCAACGAAGGCGTCGTCGCATCAGCAGTCAGCATCAACATCGACAGTAGCAGTAGCAGTTGCAGTGGCAGTGGGATTATCAGTAGCAGTGGCAGTGGCAGTAGCAGTCACACCATGGCAATGACAATGGCAACGGCAACGACAGTCGCTGGCGCAACCAAACCGGATACCCGGTAGGAGGCGCGGCAAATCCTTCTCAATACGATTACGAATGTATAGTCTGTGATTGCTTTGAAGTTATCCTATCCATCCATACGTTGGACAGATCTTCAATGCGCGACCCCGCAAAAGGGTTCAAGAACATAGAGTTGCCTGAGCCTGAGCCTGTGCCTGCGGCCGAGAGCCTAGGTAATTCACACTTCCCCACCCCAACAATTTCCATTTGGTGTTTGTGTCTGTGCGTGTGTGTGTGTGTGCAATGAAGCTTATGATTTGACTGCTGTTATGACCTGTTTCTCCTGTATGCAGAGCCCAGTTTCTTTTGCCATAAATTCAACCGTGCCCGTTACCGTTTTGCCAGATAAACTTTGAACTGTTTATGTTTTAATGTAAGCCATTTACTACCCTAACTACTTGCAAACACATATCTAGCATCCCATTTCCATTGTTATTGTTAACGTTGTGGCTACCTCTCATCTGCATAAGCTTCATTACGGCCTGTCCTGCCCTCATTCACGAAGCGGAAAATCAATTATTAACTTAATTTTGATTATTTTCTGTTTCGTTTTCCCTTGGATAGCTGGTGGCGGAGGCACGTGAACAGCGGCAGCGCGACCACGACGATGAGGAGGAGAACGAAATGGATCGTGGACGGCAGCGCAAGGTGAAGTCCGCAACGGCAAAGGCCAGCAACAGCAGCACGCCCGGCTACAATCCATTCCAGGAGCTCGAGAGCCAAAAGCGCTGGCACAAGTCCAGCAACGGCAGCGGCGGCGGTGGCAGCAGCTTCCCGCGTTACCACAATCAGAACTTTCGGCATAATTTCCAGCAGCGCAACAAGTTCAAATTCAATCGGCACGGTGGACCGGGCGGCAGCAAGTTCCAGCAGCAGCGGGGCCTGCAGCGTCATCTGGCCGCCGGTGGCGGCTATAATCGTCGCCAGTCGTCGCAGCAGCAGCAGCCACAGCAGTCCTCCTCCTAACTGCCACTTGTGGTGGATGAGGTTGCAGGTGCGGCTGCGGATGCGGCTGGTGCCTGTGCATTTGTTATTGGATTTCGATTGCGAGTTCGGCTGAGTTTTTTAAACGTTTTTTAACTGCTGATTGAACATGTTTTAGGAGTAGGACTTGTAAGCTATAAGCTAGAGCATAACTGTTGCGCCACACCGCCCCTACCCATATAGAACGCGCCCCCCAAACCCGCTACCCCCTAAGCCAACCTATGATTATGTTATAAGTGAAAAAAAATGCAAGAGATCCCTGTATGGCATTTTATACATATATATATATATTTATTGTGTTCTGAAATATTACGTTCGGCATGCTCGTTACAGCAGCGTCATAAGAAAATTATCGCAAAACATTTTTTAAAAAAATGGCTAGGCCAGCCCCAAATCTAAGCAAAACAACAGCAACAACAAACAAACTTAAATACGATATAAATGAGCTGGAAATGATGGAAAATAAAGCAACCCAATATAATTTTAAGAGACTAAAAACCAACCCAAAATGTACATATAATAACAAGCAATGAGCGTTTAGATTAAAACCACAGTGAAACTTGAGTGTAATTTTAATGGCGCGCCCTTTTATTTATAGTTGAGAGCAGTGCAGCACACTACGAACGAGATCAGATACGTTTGAGGAGCATCGATGGCGCCCCCCAATGTTAATAAATCCAAAAAAACTACTACGAATGTTGGACATAAATTATATATATATGATAAAACTATGAATATATATGTATGAACAAAAGTGTGCAAGAAAGAACGGCAGGAGATGGCTGGCGTATTAGAAAAATTATTGTAGGAATTAAACAGTTTATTTGATCAACTAGTGTGTAATAGTAAATAAACCGTAAAACAAAACTATGATAAATCGCTAGATTTTAGACGAAACGACTATTGGCCTAGTCGCCCCGTTGACGGCGAATCTCCTTTTTGTTCAACTTCCTACCCTTGCTGTAGACAGTCGGTTTGGCCGCACCATACTTGAGCTTCTTGCGCTGATGCTTTGGCACGCTCTTGATGGTATTGTTACGATCCCGCTTGGCCTTCTTCAGGTTGACCTGCTTGTCCAGGCGCTCCTTCTGCTTGAACACTTTGCTCTTGTGCATCTTCTTCAGGGTCTTGGTCTTCATCAGCTTGTCGAGATCTTTTTTGCTCCTAATGTCCGGGTCTTCCGAATGGGCAGGTTTCTTGGCCTTTGGCTCTGGTGCCGCTGCATCAGGTGTCGCCTTGCGTTTTTTCCGTGCACTTGGGTCGTAGTCCATGCCGGGTATCCGATCTGGCTGGTTTGGATCCTCACCCTCGCTCTCCGACTGATTTTCTTCCTCTTCGCTCTCCTCGCCCGTGTTGGCGCCGAGCATGTTTCGTTGCGCTGTCAGGTCATTGGTGGACAGTTCTACAATTTTAACCTGAACTTCGTCATCCTCGTAGGTCTCTTGTTTTTCATCCCCGGCCTTGTCCTCCTCGGTGAGTTCTTTAAGCGGCTCGTAGGATTTCTTGAGGTGCTTGAATCCTTCCTTAACCTCCTGCCTGATACGTATACGCTCGTCTTTGAGGTTCTTCGCCAGCTCCGTCTTGGCGCGTGTGCGGCGCTCGTTCTTCCGTTTTCGGAACCCAGTCAAAAACTCTCTGCGAAAGCAGGCATTAGTTCAGTTTACATATTCCGACCGATTCTACTTACTTGCGCTTCTCGGCATCAAAGACGACTTCAACCTTCTTCTTGGGGGTCTTTTTCCTGGCCATTTTCAATAATTTATATTTGTTTACCTCGCTGACAGCAACATGTGCGACCTCCAGTGTTGAAAAGTGTGTGATTTTCCTAAACGATACATTTGTGTTATCGGCCCATAAGGTTTATATAAAAATATTTCCGCTTTTTTTGTATTTATTCTTAAACTTTTCAAATCGCATTTCGTATATATATCACATGATTATATGTTCAAGTTCAACAAGTTCTTCTAAAGAAGCATTAACATTACACAATTTTATGCCTAAAACTATGGATTTTCGTACAACTAACGTCTACAACAACATTAAATATATTTAACGATATATTTTCTTGCCATATGTATCTGGGGTTTCCTTTTGAGAATTGATATATTGTTTTTGTATCATAAATTCATTGCGTTTCCATCGATCTACCTCCTACCGGCGATCTTCACTCATCGTCGAAGTCCAGCACAAATAGTTTCTTGCGCCGAAACGACGAAGTATCAAATACTTTGGGCGACGAAACATTAGCATAGGGACTGTCGAGTTCCAGGTTCGGGATGGTTTTGCCCAGTGAACTGAAATATGAGGATAGTCTTAGTACTCCATTCATCATACTGAACGAGTGAGCCCCTACTCACCTTCTCCTGGACGACTGGTTGTGATTCAGCGGCGTGGAATTGATGACATGCGGCGTCCCCTGCTGCGAAAGCTCTAGTGCATCTTCGCCGGTTAAAAAGTCGGAGGCATAGCAGTCCCGATTGGCAATGGGCGTGGATCCAACCAGCTGAAACTCGACACGCGGTACCGCTGCTAGGCATGCACTTGGAGAGAATGGTGCTGGCGTTATGGTGGGTTGCGGGGGAGCGATCGGCTTATACAGATGCAAGATCTCCAGGAGATAGAAGAGACATCGGTAGGCGAACGTTTTCCAATTGCACACTTTTCCATAGACAACGCGACGCGACTTTCGAAAGGTCCTCGACTAGAAAACGGATTAAAAAATGAGATTACAAGAGTTCATAGGGGGTGTCCCTAGACGATGCCATACCAGTTTATTGACTGTTATCAAAGACTTTCGACTCTCCTGCATTCTCTGGAGCTTCGGGTGTGACAACAGCTGATCTGTGGTCAGGCGATCCAGTGGTTCCGGCATCATCATGGACTTGATGACTAGCTGCAGTTCCTGGGATATTTCTAGACGAATTCAAAGCCATGGTTAGCACATGGGATCTACTATGGGATCTATGATTACGCACTGTCAATGAACTCCTCGGGCAGGATGCCCCGCCGCAGCTCATGCCAGAGCGGTCCGTTCGAGGGCAGCTCCATGTAGCAGGCCAGCTCCAGCATGGCGATGCCCAGACTGAAGACATCCGCTGCCTTTGAGAACTGGCCCTGCAGAATCTCGGGGGCCATGTACCGAGAATCGCCCTCGGTGGCATGCTGGCTGTTGGCTCTGTCCACATCGATGACGAGGCCAAAGTCCGCCAGCTTGCACGTCTCGTCGTCCTCGCCGATGAGCACATTGTCCAGCTTAATGTCTAAATGGATGAGATTCCGATCGTGCAGCGATTTGAGGGCGCGCAGGAGGTCCAACAGGATGTGCCAGATGCGTTCCTCTGGAATTTGATGGCACCGCAGCAGATACTGCTCCAGGCTTTCGCGGCACAGCTCCATCTGCATGTACAGGCGATCGTACTGCTCCCAGGCCCGTATGAATCGGATGCAGTTCTCGTGGCCGGAGAACTCCTCGTACCTGCGCACCTCCTCCAGCCGCTCGGCCCTGTACTGCTCGCCGCGGAACAACTGCTTCGAGATTTTCACTGCGTACAGCCGCCCGTCGGACCGGTCTCGTACCTGGTACACTTCCCCGAAGGATCCCTCGCCCAGCTTGGCAAGACGTTCGAAGCACAGCTCGAAGTGGCTCCGATCGCCGAAATCAGTCGAGGTGCTGACATCCTGGAAATTTGGCGATGCTGGCAGTGTGTTGGCATCCGGAAACTCCACGCCCCGAAACGATATCGCATGAGCAATGTTGGAGCTGTTGTTGGCACTGCAGGATCCCAGCGACTGACTACGATTCAGATTGTTGTTATCCACGGCCACGTACCCGCCCTGCGACACTCGCGCCTTGTACTTGGGCGGCCGGAATCGGTTGCTGTTTTCATTCCCATTGAACTGTTTGTGTCTGTGTTTGTCGTCTCGCAGCTCAGGTAGCGGTAAACGATGCATTTCCTCCATATTTGTGCTTTGAATTTTTTTGTTTTTTTTTTAATGAGTTCAGTGCGTACAAAGTGTGACCATTTCTGCGAAGCACGAAATTCCACGCATTTCGAATCCGATATATGCATGTCAAATTGAACGATAGGCATATACAAAATAACTTATCGAAAGTCGCTTTTTTTATTTATTCATTAACAAATGCAACATTAACAACAAAATGGTTAGCAGAGGCATAGAAAGGTGGGTATTGGCCACGATTTTGATGGCAGCGTAAGCGCTGGAAAATACGCAGGACGCACGTACGGCCAGCGAGTGCGATGGAGTTCTGGAATTCTTCCGAGGGCACCTGGTCTGGTTATGCAATTTGTTTCGCGGCTTTCTTTATTTATCTGCACCGAACGGACAATGGCTTATGTGGAGAGTCGGGCACTATCTCGCAGCCTACGCCGCGACCTTAACCTTGGAAGCGACTGCGGCCACGGCTCTGCAGATAACTGATGATGCTCCTCGTCTTCTTATGCCTTTTGCAGTGCGAGTAAAGTGCCGACATTCCATGTCATACGAGAGGTGTACGACAGCTCCAACGCCCATGAGCGTTTCGAGGCCGAGCTGGAGAAGGCGCTGGAAGCCAAGGTAGACTTTATAATCATTGAACCGCCGCGCCTGGGCGACGAAACAGGTGAGCGACTGAACAAGAACTGCCCTGCTATGATTCCTTATTTGCTGATGATTGACAGGTCGCTGGATTTGGGTCGGCAATTGTCTGCATAAATCGGCCGTTGCCACCGGAGTTGTGTCGCTCATAGCCAGTTTGCTGTGGCACGATAGACCTATTGTGGCTGCCCCCATATGTGCACTCTCGCTCTTCTGCTCGGGCCTGTACACAGTGTCCTGGAACTCGGATCCTTGTTGTCAATACCAGGTGAAGTTTGTTTGTGTCCATATATCATTGTGATTAGCATGTCTAACCAACCAGCCCCAACTGCAGGTGGAGAACAACGACACCGTTTTGGAGAAGCTACCACTAACAGATGTATCCTCGCCTGTGATCCTCGGATATGCGCCTAATGCAAAAACCAAATACTTGCACCGCGGCGTCACCTTCCTGTCGGCAGCGCTGTGCGCTTGGCAAATCTGGCGGTCATACAAGTAAGAAGCAGGCCAGGACAGAACAGAACAGGCGGACCGGCAACATCATGTGGGGATTAAACAATAATTAATAAGTTTATTTTAGGCACCTAAGCGAATGCATTTTATTTAGATTTCCCTTCCCAACGTTTTTTCTGCGCGTACCAGTAACCCAGTAGCCAGTAGGCAGTAGCCAGTCTTGTGTCTTGTGTCAGACAAATTTAATGTGATTGAAAGTGTAAATTGTCGTTAAACAGTCGTAAAAGTCTCAGTTGTTGTCCGGCCCGAGCGCAGCCCTATGTACTCATTTTCGATTTGTCCACGATATAGTTTAGTGTCTAAATGAGGAGCAAAGTCTTAAGAAAAAACTAAAGTATAGTCAGTCCAATGTTCAGAGAAAGCGCCTGTATAAATAATTAAGTGAAATGCCCGATATTCTGTGTATAAATCAATTAATCATTGTTATTAGCAATTAATTAAACAAACAATAAAAAAATAGTAAAAATCAAGCGAAAGCCCTGCAAATGATAGACTTAAGAAAGAGGAGAGCTCTAAGCTCGGGGCACACAGAGTACTCAGTACTCACAAGTATTATAGGGCAGCATATGGCATGTGGCAAATGTTGAGATGAAATGCGGGTCGCTGCTCCTCCCTCGTTGTTCTCGTTACTCAGTCGTTGTATGCATTCTGCTGGCAGCGGTACGCGTCGTCGTCGATCGATTGTGTTGGTGTGTGCATTCCAGTGTAAGCCAGTAATAAGCTGTAGCACCACCCAACGAGGAAGTCATCAAAACAGTCATGGACTCCAACCAGAGTGCAGTGATCGCGGGTGAGTGCTGCTTGCCCAGATAATCAGACGATAAGATAGATAGCAGCTCTCTGATTGTTTGGGATAAGCTGAAAGAGTGCTCCGAGTTCAGTTCTGGCCAGCCACCAAGAACAGAGCGGTCTCGACCAATCAGCTGAACACTTTTATCTTGGCTAAGCTCCGTCATGTGTTGTTTGCTCTATATTTCGCTATGATAGCATTGCGACACGATACACCAAACCGACCCAGATCCCTCTCCCAGGGCACATATGGAAGCCTGGGCACTACAGATGATATCATCATTGCTGTGGATGTCAATGAATCTTCGCCACTGCTGGACAAAGCTGCAGCATCAGCATCAGCATCACCCCCACTGAACCACACAAAAGACTGCCTCAATTGGCGCTCTGTGGGTTTGCTGGCGATGTGTTGTTGCGCTCTGGGATTGGCTGCCTATTTGCTCTGGAGACAAAGTGAGTTTTAGCTGAAGCGGCAGATTTTTTGCTCAATTTGTTTGTTGAAATAAATCTGGAAATGCTGCTGTGAATGCTATGATAAGCCGAACTGTGTGAGTTTTTGGTGGGCAAGCGGAAGCGACTTACTGGCTTGGGGCCCCCTGGGAACTTCGCTGCTGAATTCATTTCCCTTTCCCTTGCAGCCCAACTGCCCGGCCTTGGGTATCGACTGAGTCTGATCGAGCACGATATCTGGAGCGACATGAAGCTGCATGGCCAGGGCAGGCTGTTGGATCCGTTTGCCGTTGTTTCTGTGTACTTTACCCACACGGCCAGCGATGGCTGTACCGAGGACTGCCTGCAGCTGCTGCACAGACTGCAGGTGAGTGGAAGTCATCCTTCCATTTGATGTGTAGACTCATGCAACATTCCGCCCTAGCAGAACCACCGCTTGGAGGAGCTGCCCTACAACTTTCTCATAGCCGGCGACTGTCAGGCCTTCGAGGCACGCGGCTGGCAGTATGAGAGTAGCTTTGCGAAGCTGCCCCAAGCCACGTCTCTGGTGGTGGCATTTGTGGGTAACTTCAGCCAGAGGCCGCCCAGCGATTGCCAGATGCAGACAGCCCAGGCACTGCTGCTGGAATCGCTCAAGCGACGGAGACTCCAACCGGCATACAAACTCTACGTGGTGGGTGAAGCGGAGGCAGCACAGCAGCAGCTGCAGCTCTGGCCACGCTACGCTGGAACGGGAGTCAGACATAGTTCCAAGTGATTCCTCTCGTTTATTGTACGCCAAAGAGACAAATACTAGTTTACAAAAGAAGCAGGAAGCAAGATGAGTAAAGCGGGGTGCCACCGAAAAGCGAAGCGGAGGTCCTCTGGAGGTCTATCTCCCGAGGGACCGGCAAAGCGATGCGCTGCGTGAACGGATGATGCCTAAGACTAGCAACTAAAACTAGAACTAGGGTGGGTGGTGCCACCCCCCACCCCGAGGTGGACCTATGAGCTAGTCAAACTCCAGCTTCCGAAAGCTGCCCTCGATGGACTCGATCTGTGACACGAAATTCGGCCCGGCGCCGGTCTTCTCGGAGTTGAAGCTGCTGCGCCGCTGAATGCCGCGATCCGAGAGCAGGATGCACTTGTCCAGGCCCAGCACCAGGTCCCGCTTGGCGGCCAGCTCCTGTTTCCACAGACCGATCATCTCACGCATCGGCATTGTGCCGCCCATCTCCAGGGGCAGGCAGCCGGCATCGACGGCCTTCATCAGCTCCTTCTCGCTGCCGTAGATGATGAGGCGGTTTTTCATCTTGGAGCTGACGCGATTCTTCACGAAATCTATGAGCCACTTCAGCGTGGAGGGCACATTGATCAGGTGGATCTCCTTGTGGCGCATCGGCAGCGACTGCTCTCCCCACTTGAAGATGCGTGCAAATTCCGTGGGATTCCAGTTGGTCACATGCGCCGTGGAGACGCCCGAGAAGTCGCCCACATGCGACAGCCCTGTGATCTGTGTCTCCTGGTCCTCCATCAGGCACTCGTAGGTCAGGAAGTGGGCCTTCGCCTGGTCGGCAGCTGTGTGCACCTTTGGATTCAGTCCTTTGGCATTGATGATCACCACCCGCCGGCCGTGCTTGTCCCGCTGCGGCACAGCGAATATGTACCCCTGGTCGATGAGATCCCCCAATCGCGGCTCCAGATAGTCCAGCTGCGTGCTCATGTGCGGGAAGGTGCGTCTGATATTGAGGTACTTGAGCATTGTCTGCTCCGCCATCGGCACGCTGAATTTCTTGGCGCGCAGAAAGCGCAGCAGGAACGTATCGTCACAGCGCACATTCTGCAGGTCCTCGTTCTTCATGACCCAATTCCTGAGCTGCTCCAGGCTCTGTTCCCTCGTGCATCTGTCCTCGCGCAGCTCCCGCTTGGCGATCTTCAGCAGCGACTCGGGCAGCCCCATCACAGAGGTCTCTCCTTGATCCTGCATCAGTTTGGTTTCCTTCATCTCTCTCGTTGTGGATGGGAGCTGGTCGCTGTCTGTGTGGGTGTGGGATGCGTTCAGGCTTTGAACATGGATTGTGGCAGCTAAAGAATGGAACATAAAAATAAATTTAAATTAAATTTAATGCTTAAATGGTTCAAATCAAAGAATTTCTGGCGCATTCCGCTTAGCAGCTGCAGACCAAACTAATTAATTCTTTATAGCAGCAAACAATCAGACATTCATTCATTCATTCGTTTTAATTCCATGACAATACACAGTAAAAGGGCCAACTAAAAATTAGTTCAAGGTCCCAGTTCAAGATCTCAAGGCGAAACCCTCCAACCGACCCACCGACCGACTGATCACGATTCGCTGTAATTTGCAAATATTTGCTAATTAAAGCACACAAGAGACAACAACCCAATCTAAGCAACCAACCAACCAACCAACCATCCAAACCAAATGCAAATGGACAATATATTTTTTTAAAACAGCATAAATTATTTTCTCGCCTGTGCAGCCCGAGTTTTTTTTTCTCTTGCTTTTTCGGTGCTTTGTCTGCTTTGGTGGAAGACATAAACTATAAAAATGGCCTGGCATTATGGCCACATACAATGAAATGCGCTGGTGTGGTCCAAAGAAGCGAAAATGAAACCTCAACTGCGAATTGGCTCAAGTTCAAAACTGTTTACCGAAAGCGGGTCACAAATATCGTAGGGGATATTGAATATGTATGGAAAAAGGCACCAAAGCTAGAAATAATTAGCCACAAGAAAGAGTTTGTACTGTTTGTTTGGTATTCAACTTGTTGCATAATTTCCAGAGACACAGAGACAGACAGCGACACAGAGAGAAAGATGCAGAGATGGGGGAGAGAGCTCTGCTGAACAATGCCCCCGTTTCGAGTGATTTTTGTTTGAGTGGCTCAAACACATCTAATAATACATGCTCGTATTTGCACACAAATTGTGATTCGAATTTGGGGACTCTGCTGCTGCTGCGTGTATATTTGCCCTGCCCTGCCATGCTGCCCCTCTGCCCTTTTGTCTTTTCCCAAATTTCGTTTTCCCATGACACCCGACAAATGCAAATTGATTTGATTCGTTCGCAGAGGCTGTGCCATTTAATTGATTTGTGATTTTTGGTTATCCCCATCTATCCATCCATTCCTCCATCCAGACAGACAGACAGAGGGACAGCTGGGGATCCAAAAAAAATGTGTGTAAATTTGCATTTGCTTTCGGTTTGTCCATAGTTTGTTGCTTTACAGTTTTCAGTTTTCAGTTTTGGTTCGTCTTGCGCTTTTCGTTTTCCTGCAACTGGAAATGCGATTTCAAAATGTCATTGAGCAATGCAATGGCGGGGTACGAGCTTGGATCCCTCTCTTGGATCATAGTCTCTATAGCGGTATAGCTGTAGCTTGCTATCTATCTCTGTCTTTCTTTCTGGCCGTTTCAACATTTGTATTTCGAGGCTCTTGAGGCTCATGTGGCGTAGCTTTTGTGTGTGTGCTCAACGGGCTAATAATGCAACAGGCTCTGGCAATCGTCGTTTATTTTATTTGATTTTTCTCTCTCTCTCTCGCTTTTTGAAATTTTCCCGATAGTTGATTGTTGATTGATTTATTGAATTGGTTGCTTGTTTTTTGGTTGATTATTTTGTGTGTGCAAATTTTTCATAGTTTATAGGAAAAGATTTCACAAGTTTTGAGCGTTTCGCAGTTGAATATAATTTCGGGGAAACATATTTTAATGTCATATAGTTTATTTGGAATTTTAAATAGTTCCACCATTTTTGACAATAATTTTTATTGAAGAATAGTTTAAATTCCTAAAACTTTGTATGGTAAATCCTAGCACATATCTTCTTATCACAATCACTTCAACACTTACACACTCGTTGAATCCTTTTCTCTATGAATTGTTTTGCCCGTAATACGCTGCGTATGCGCAATGCCCAACGCCCGTTTTTAAATCCTTGTCAGTTAATTATGGCTATCGTTTCCTTTATATTGGCTTGTTTATTAATGTCTTCCAACGCGCCAAACAAAAACTTCAACGTCCAAGCAACGCGAGGTCCAAATAACGAATGACGTTTACTGGAGGAGGCTTCGGGCAAGCAAAACAACGAAGCCAGCAGAAAAATTGTTAAAGAAATTAACTGGATTATATAATGCCCACACCACACACACACACACACAGACAGACTGAGACACACACAGCCAGAGACACAGATGTATACCACTCGAACAGAGCTACAGCGGGGGGATTCGAATGCAATCTGATCGGTTTACTGTTGGTAAATGCTGCTGCTGCTGTTGTTGTTGTTGCTGTTGCTGCTGCCGTTGCTGCTGCTGCTGCTGCATGGCGTGAACAAGTTTTTTTGGATAGCCCGAAACCGAAAGTGCGAGCGACGCTTCGTCTAAAGTACACGAACCTTTAGCCAGGCGGCCAAGCGGCCAGGCGTCAGCCTCCAGCCTGTGTTCCAGCCATCAAAGGTAGCCATAAAGTATTAAAGAGTTACGGCTGCCACTGCCCCTGCTACTGCTGCTGCTGCTGCTCAGCTGTTAAGCAATCCCAGCGAGGAGGCATTGAGGCACTGAACCACTAAGCAAGTGAGTCAGTCAGTCATGCCGCCAGTTGGTCAGCAAAATTGACTGTAAATCAGGTTCGCTAGCGGTTCATTTTCTACTTTTCTCTGTATCTCTCTTACTCTCTGCTCATTCCCTGTTCCGTGCGATGATGATTGGGTTTATTGATTACTTCGCGTACATGAAATGAAAATTTGCATTTTCATGGCACCCAACAGCAGCAGGGGCAGCAGCGCCAGCTCAGCAGTTGGCAGTGAAGCGGGGAATGGCCTACAACCTTGAAAATGCAATACCCAGTGCCTGCGCCTGCCCATTGATGGTAATGATGGTGTCGCTATTACTAATAGACAGACAAACACCTAATGATCCCTCCCAAGCGATACAGCGATCAGAGCTACGCTGCGTCATTTCTGGGCTGGCTGTTTGCATGGGTTTTGGGTGTCTCCAGTTGGTATGCGGAGCCAGGCCCATCTTGATGGGACTGCAGTTAACAGATGCCCGATGTTGTTTATGGGTGAAAAGCAGTGAAACTTTTCTTGTCTTGTCTTGTCTTGTCTCGTTTCAGGGCCGTGTACCGTGGGCTGCTGGAACACGTTGCCCAATTGGCGAAGGGCGTAGGTCTGTTTTTGTTTTTTTTTTGTTTTATTGATCGCCTGATGCATGCTAATTTAATGATCTGTTTCCGTTTGCCAGCAGCAGCAGCTGCAGCAGGAGAAGGAGGAGGAGACACGCCCAAAGTGCTAAATAGCTCATTAGGCTTTTGTGACGATGATAATTATGTTGCTTTTACTAAACATTTTTCACGATTGAAGGTCCCTGAAAAGCGTGGGCAATCCTTAAGCTTGCTGGGGGAAATTCTGCCTCCCGGATTTCAGTGCTAACCTTCGCCAATGGATTGACCCACTCCCAACTACAGCAAGTCCATATTTTATACATATTTTAAAAGCCATAATACTCACAGCCATAGTACTCGCTTCACCATGTGCTCCTCTGTGATCTGTGGTGGTAATGCTGGGTAATGTGCTCGCTCATCGTTGGCACGTTTTTAATTTTTGTACTTTTCGCTTACAATTATATTTTGTTGGCCTTTTTCTCCGGCTTGCCGCATAACGAGTTTTTCAACAGACAGAGAGAAAAAGAGAGAGAGAGAGAGAGCCCCAGCTAGTCTGCTGTGTTGTGTCCAATTGCTCCACATCAGCCATCAGCTGGTGGCCCATAAAGATGCCGCCACCACCGCAGCCTGCTGCCTGTCTGCCCTGCCACCTCTAAATGTGAACAATAATAATTTTTAATAAACACATTACATGGCGCGAAGCAGCCGCAGAAAACAATTGGCAACAATGTGGAGTGTGGAGTGTGGAGTGCGCAGTGCGGATGGGTAGGAGTGGAGGAAGTGGAAGCGGCGGCGGTGGGGGCCCTCTGAGATTGAGTAAATCTGACGGGGAAACCTTTTTCGAAATGCCATTACAAACGAAATATGTATGCCCCCATACCAACCATGACTGAATGACTGCCCACCTGATTTCTGTTTCTGTTTCTGTGTTTCTGCTTCTTTCGTGATTTTTGGTCTTAGCCATAATTAACGACAAAGAAATTCAGCCATGGAGCCGCGTAGCCGCGCAGCTTAATTATAAAAATTCGAAAATGACCCAAACATCCCATGTGTTTTCTTTTTATGTTTCGTTGATGATTCTTGGCTGTGTGTAGCTTCTGGCCATGCGAAATCTCTTATGGACCGCCACTTGATCATAAATAATTTGCATATCATTTTGTTTTTAGTTTTGGTGATTTACGTAGAACATAATTTATCATTTGAACGCTTTTAGGGGCATCGATGTGGGATGTGGGGGATGGGATGTAAGCAGGCAACACGTAAATCTCTGAATATTTGCCAAAGACGCGACGCAGTTTAAAACACGGCCAAGACGCATTTCTCGTGTGGCACTGAGCAACCGTTTTCTTGGCTTACTTTCAATTTGAGTTTTTCGGTTTATTTTTTTTTAGTTAGTTTATATCGCCCGTCAAAGTTTCGTCAGTGGTTAATTAAAATTGCACAATATAATGTCGCTGCTCTTGAGGCTGCATTGAGGCTGCGGACGACCATTGTCATAAATACCAGCCAGGGTAATATAATTGCAGGAGACCCAACTGGTTAACTGGAGCTGGTTTGGTTTTGGTTTTGGTACCTACCTCGGCTCTGATTATTCCTCCAGATATCGTATTTCCGTTGGATTTTTGCTGCCTAAACTCGCGAAACTGCTTTGAAAACGTCTGAAACGCGCAAAGGTTCAACGCAGAATCAAACAAGACGCTCAACTTGTGGCCTAAAGTACAACAAAAATCTGGTTTGAAAGAGCTTTAACTGAGCGCGCAACTCTTGGATCACATATAAGTAATGGCCGAATTTTTATGGCTCACAATAAAATGTTTAAATAAATGCACATAAAGTCCGAATTCGACCTTACTTGGACTTAAATGATTCCATCGGGTTTTATTCAACAGTTTGCTCAGGTCTGTGGTTAATTTGAATTCAAAAAAACAACTCAACTCGATATTCAAACATGGTGGGATAGTGTGACCATAGCGGGCTTTCAGCAAAAATATATTTCATTTCAGTTGTGATCGATACTGCTATCGATCGCTCTTGAAATTTTGCAGCACTAGTCTGCAGCAAGAACAGTTATGCGCACATTTTGTTTGTTTTCTATAAATTTTATTACACAAAATACGTATAAATACAAATACAATTAGTGAATTCCAATAAAAACTATCTACCCAAGTGTTTATTGATACAGCAACAGTAAGTGCGGGCAATGCGTCTGCATTCTTTGCACTTGCACCCAGTCTCGGCATTCAAAACATTCGCGGGCTACTACGCAGCACCTATCCAACCCCTCTCCTCCCCGCAACACTCTTCAACTAGTATTAATATTTAATCCACTGCTAGCCCGGGCAGAATGTCTGTCTGCGCACCTGCCACTCCGCCAAACAACCAAATAAAAACGTGCAAAATAATAATCACTGGCATGCTCTGTTTGCGTATACATATTGCATATTTTTTTGTTTTGCACTTTTTTAATCATAAAATCATTTCATAAAAATGATTTGAGCACATTCTTTATTTTTGTTTGTTTGTTTGTGTGTTCGCTTACATGAGTACCCTCTTTCCCCCAACCCTCCCTATCTGACCGTCTGCCCAGCCGTGACCACAGTCCCGCCCCCGCCGCTCGGTGGCTGATTTTATTATCAATTTTCATAACATTTTTTGCAAATTTTTGTAGCACCTGGCGAACAGATGGATCGGCAGTGGCATCGGCCCAGGCTCATTTATTGGTAGCCACGTCAACCGTCAGCACAGCCAATTACGCAAATTAAACAGATTGTTATCCTGTCCAGACAGGACCGCATCATTCCACATCTCGTCGCGACCCCGGACAATATGACAAGCCAGGCGGCTTAATTCAATCAACGTGACATAATTACTTAATTAATTAAGTGCGCCCAACGGTCACACATTCAAATCGGCCATCATGTTGCGAAAATCATTCAGCGAGCCGTACATTTCGAAGTCCCCGCCACCGCCGCCGCCGCTGCCACCACCCCTCCCATACACCTGTGCCTGTGACTGGGCGTGGGAACGCACGTGCGCCGGCCTGGGCAGCGTCAGTGGCACGGGCAGGAGCTCCGGCATCACCGAGTGATGGGTAATCAGCGCTTTCAGCGAACTAAACTCCTTGGTGAAGCCCTGCAAGTGAGGGGATTAGCATTTTTCTGCCTCTATTACAATGCATTTCATACGTACCTTGATTTTGTAGCCCCGCTGTGTCCTGAGGATCAGATAGTGGGCCACACGCGGCGATGGCGGCGGCACACGCAGCGACAGAGCAAAGCAGCCTGGCTTGGTGCTGCTCTGACGCACCAGGAAGGCGCCGGGACTCTGGCGGGAGAGCACCTCCAGTGAGATCTCGCGCGGAATGCCCGCTTGGAACCAGGCGGCCCCTTTAAGCTCCTGCTGCTCGGCCAGGCTGAGATTATCCAGACGCAGCGATCCGTTGGCGGAAAACAGTTTCGGACTGGAGTTAGCTGCAGAGGGGTAAGTGCAACTATTAGTTACTATTTCCATGTGCCTCCGGGTGTGGCACCCCCGCACTTACCGCTGCATGTCTCTCGCAAATACTTCTTGTTGCCGGGCAGCTCCACCTGCAGGCGCTGGGTGGCCGTTTCCAGGGCGGTGAGCGATTGGCGACACGAGTCGCCAAATTTGCTGGCCACATACTTGTCCGGCTCGCAGATGGCCTCGTTCACATAGCCATCCGAAATGGTCTGCGATGAGCCCGAGTTCAGGGAGGAGCCGCATGTGTTGTGCACCAGTGGGCGGCTGTCCTCGGTGCCCCGGAGCAGGCCAATGCCCATGGTGAGTCGTTTCACCTGCACAGAAAACAGAGCACAGAGGAGGAACAAATGAAAGGATTGGTGGGTTGGTCGGTTGGCTGATTGGTTGGTTTTCCAAATGCTACATTTTGCATGTTGCATGTTGTCTGACAATTTGGCAAAAGTTTTCGCATTGCTATAATGGCAATTTGGGATTGTTGTCTGACCAATATCACAGCAGAGCAGAGCAGGTGCAGCGCCATTTGGGTATTGTTTAGTTGTTATAGTTGTTACTGTTGTTTCCCCCGAAAACTAGCATTCTCCTAAGCCCCTTCCCTCCCTCACTCTTTCGGCTTTCCCCCCCCCACACACACAAAACCAGGAAACATCAAACACACTTTGGCTCTCACAAACCAGAACCGCAACATGCTACCAGCGCCTCCCTCCCCTTCAGACTGCCACAGATTGATGTGTAAAATTTTTGGTTACCAATAAAATGTTAACCAGTGTTTGGCACACCCACTCCAAACCCACTCTCACCCACTCTCCACCTCCCCCATTTTGTTGGCTTCTGCGGAAAATTACTTTGAAATGAGTTTGGTGCCTGAATTGAAAGTTTTCTGCCATTGGCGTTGGCTTTCTGCCTTCTGCCTTCTGTGGGATTGCCGCTTAAATTGTTTCCCATTGCGTTTTGTAATTAGCCGCCGAATCCAAAGTGGAGCAACTTATCTATGGCTGCCCCTCTCTAATTTGTGATAATTATGTTGATTTTATAGAGATGAAAGCGACGCGAGAGAAGTTTACTTAATAATGTGGCCAGCAGCCAGCGGCCAGTGGCTTAAATATTATCTGAATTTGATTCTGGACAACTTATACCTAGCACAAGGAGTCCTTAAGCTGCGCATTGGAGCACTTTTCAAATTGCATTCATTGGCTAATTAAATTGGCACATTGGCGTCGGACGGCGGGCGGCAGGCGGCACTTGGCTCTGTCATTAAGTATGCAATCAGAGCCTCCTTTCTGAACAGAATGTCCTAATGCCCCCATTATGCTAATGACATTGGAAAGGACCCACGCATTATGCAAATCCTGTTGGGGCAGGGCAAGACAATGCAAGAAGTGCCACTTGCCAGACGCTCGAACGAAACTTCAAGCTCGATGCTGGGAGATGCACGATGCTCTACAAATCCCCCAACTATAAAGAATGCAGCGATTGGGTTGGGTGGGTGGTATGTCAGGCAAGGTATGCCTAGACAATGGGACAATAGACGTGTCTAAGTTGAGAGCAGAACATTCAGAGCACTCTGGCATTTGATTTTCCCAGTCCCATTCCCTTGCCATTCTCCTTTCTCTTATTTCTCTTTTGCTCCCTGGTGCTTCGTTATCTGTTGAAAACTTTCCACGTTGCCTACTTTCAGGCGCCGCCAGACAAAAGTTTCCCATTGTCCGTCCGTCCCTGGTAAGGGGGTTCTCTCTCTCTCTCTTAGGCCTATATACATACGTAGACGGTACAAGGGGAAAACACGTGACAGCAATGGGGCTGTCGGATGCATTTGCTTTGCTGCTGCGATTTATGTGTCATAAAGTCAGTAAGTTAACGGCATTTGGCTGCCATTTGCCAGACATCTAGCATTGTTCTCTCACTACCTTTATGTCTCTCACTCTCTATCTATGTCTCTATTTCTTTTAGGGGTGCACTGTGCGAAAATTCGAATGTCTTTCTAAATTTTAACTCTGTTCAATTTAATTGAAAATGTGTGAAAAAAACTCAGATCGGGTGAATTTGAAAATAAATAACCTTTTCTAAAGGGTTTTTCGTCTCCTGAAAGTAAATTTAGAATAGACTAGAAGGTTCTTCGAGAGCCTGAATGACTTTGATTCTTAGATTAAAAATATGGACATATGTATTTATTCCCGCTACCATCTCTGTCAGAGGATATCTGTGCATCTGACTAATAGATCTATCATCATATTCATTGAGTGAACTCTCATTTCTCATCTATATTTAGCAGTGGATAAACTTCTCTAGCTTGTTTAATTTCTCTCAGTGTGCTTCTGCTGCCCCTTCGACTTCCCTTTGTTGGTTGCAAGTAAGTGCTGCAGCTGCAGCTCCTCCTCTGCTAACGGCGCGTGCCAAAGTGCCGTTAGCTGGAAAATTTGCATTTGTGCAAATTAATTTAATGAACTCTTTTTCGGGGCAGCTTGTTTAGTGGCAAACACTCTTCGCTCTCCGCTCGGCACTCTACAGCCTCGAGTGCGTCCACTACATGGAAAGTTGTTGAGGGGAAAATTGCATTTGATTGCGATTCAGATTCAAGCAGTGCAATTTCCCTCAAGTGCCACAAAATGTTACGGCAAAGAAGAGGGAAAGAGTGAGCCAGTCAACAGTTAATTCCTATGGCAGGACAAAACTCCCAAGAATCCCCAAGGATTTTGCCTCCATTCTTGTTTCCAATTTTACTCATTTTTCATTCCTGAAATTCTGTTGATGTTGTCTCAATTTGAAGGCTCCTCCTCTCCTCTGCTCTCCACTTCTCCTTTTTATTTTTTTGTTGGTTTCCACTTAGCCATTTGCATTGCTTTGACATTTTCCGGCATTAAGTGCATCCCCAGCTAATTCTTCAATGGATTTCCGGATCCTCATTCAGTCTCCCTGGAAAATCCACCAGTGTAAGCAGATTTATGCTCTCTGTGCAAAGTAATTTGCAAGCAATGAACAAGCAATGAAAAAAATCATGTACAAAGAAACCTGCCAACAAAACGAACAAAGAAATGATTGCTCCCAAAGGAAGGAGGTCCTTCTTCTACCTCCACTAGGCTAATAGTTAATATTAACAAAAAAAAAATAAAGCAAAAAAAAAGATTGATGAAGCAGTAGGAAGGGTGGGGTACGGGAGGGGTAAGGTAACTATTCTGTGGACTTACCAGCGGCGGTTTATCAACCAAACGACGGCAATTATTCATTTCTGTGGGTGAATTATCCTCCTCGGAGCTGGGGGAGCGCGGCAGTTGCAGCTGATGCTGGTGCTCCTGCTCGGGCAGCTCTTGGGCATTGTGGTGGCTGTGCACCAGCTGCAGCTGCTCCACGTGGCGTCTGGGATGGTGCGGATGCGAGTGCGTGTGCGTGTGCTGCTGCAACTGAGGGCGTGGATGCTGGTGCGGATGATGATGATGATGGAAATAATGCTGCGGAGATGTATTCACTGTGGTCGCTGTGCCTGCACCAGCAGCTGCCTCACTGTGGCAGTTAGCAAATGATTTCCACGAATTAATACACGGGCAAAGAAAAGCTAAAGAAAATGACTTGCTCTTACCTGAAGATCTGCTCTGTGGCAATGGGCGACTTCGGGGCCGACTCAATCAGCGTCGTCTCAGCCGTGTTCGATGACGATGACGTGGAGGAGCAGGCTGAGGACGAGGACGATGTGAAGGTGGCTGTGACTGTACTGAGCTGCGGTTCCAGGCGTAGCCTTATATCCTGCATGGCCATGAATATGGGTAGGGCTCCTCTCAAATATATATATTTATGTATATTTATATTTATATCCGTACGCTGCTGTTTGTGGCGTGCCCAACCCTTTAGCGCATCTGTGGGGCAAGAGAGGTGTGTGCGTGAGTGGCTTGTTAAAAGTTCGTACCACACTTGAGAACCCTTTCACAAAAATATGAAACTTTTCGTAGCTCTTAAGGAGGCGAAAAACTTTACCCCTTACCACCAACCCCCTCGGTCACTTCTGGACCTTATGGTAATGCTCTATGCTCTGCTCTCCTTTCTTACGCTGCTTTTGCCTGCTGATGATGATTTCTTGACTTATTTTTTGTACAACAGCATTTTTGCCGTCTTGAAAACTAGAGAACTGAAAACTTTTGCTTTAAGCAGCTTCCACTTTCGCACAGGCCCTGCCCTGGTCCTTGTTTAAGGCTTTAAGCCTTTACCGACTGCAAAACTTTTTCAAGCCACAAGTCCTTGCTTATTGAATCTCTCTGTCTCTCTACGATATGCCCGGATCCGTGCATGTAGTGTAGTGTAGTGCCTGTATCTGTATCTGTGTCTGTATGTGTGTGTGTTTGCTGTGTGGTTCTTCTTGGGTGGAAACTTTTAATGCGATTTTAAGCCTTTTGCTATTAGTTTGCAAATTGTTTCCAGATTTTCAGCATATTAATTTTTAAAGCTTTTCCTTCAATGGTTTTTTGGGTCTTTTGGTTTGCGGGTTTCCAGCCAAGTGTCTCTTAATTGAAAGCCGAATGTGGGTTAAGGTTGAAACAGGAGCAGAAGGAACTGGCAAAGGAGGCCTTAACTTTGCCCGAAGGTTTCCACTTTTTGTTCTGTTCTCTTGTTCTGTTGCCGCATCACTTTACCTACATTCAACGCTCCGCGAACAATGCAAAACGAAGATCCTCTAGCAGCAGACAAAAGAGATGGCTGCTGCTGATGTGGCATGCAACAAAAGAACTGCCAACATTGAAAAGAGGAAAGACGAGTGCAAAAGGCAAGGAAAATCATTGTGCAAAAGTGTAAGAAAAGCAAACTGAAACGGCAACTGCAACTGCAGGCGAAATGTCGACAGTTGTGATGTGATGTTCTGTTGCTGTTCTGCATCTGCATTTAACAAGTATACGCCATGCTGGCCGGGCATTAATTTGGCAAAGCGAAGAAACGCAGTACGGACTGCAACGCCAACCAGGAGGGAAAGTCACAAATGTGCTGACATTTGCTGGCACTCCATGTAAAGTTCTGTAAAGTGTCAAAACAGCAACAAGAACAAGAAGTTTGTGTCTGGTGTCGGGGTGGGGCGGTGCAGTGCATTGCATGTCTCACATGTTAATTTAGCTAGTCATACACACAATGCATCAACATGTTGCACAGCTGTACGTACAGCACTAATAAGCTGCAGACAACATTACCATAGCATACTCTTGTGGGTCTTTTTTAAACTGAAAAATGGGAATAGCTCTATGCCAGAGATGGAAATAGTTCCTTAACCTTTGCAGTAGATACAAGAGAGTTACAAGTAGATTTCTTACCCTTTTCCGAGACAGAAATAGAGCCAGCGACAGCCACAGTATACGTGGCGGACGTAGTTCTGTGTTTGGCTCAAATCAAGTCAAAGTTTAGCTCAATAAATTTCAAAGAAAAGTTTCCATTTTATTGCTATTTGTTTTGGTGGTAAGCAAAAGTTCTTTTTATCGCTACAAGCAAACAGAAAATGCATTGAAAATTATCCGAGAAACAAGAAAAACGGCCAAAAGGAATGCAAAGGAAACCCTTGCCACGACTTAAAGTTGAACTTTTCCTCGGGCCAAATAGTTTTTCGTGTGCTGTGTGTTGACTCGTACTTTAATCCCCCCCAACCCAAGTCTATTTCTCTCTCTCTCCTAAATGGAATTGAAATTAACCTTTATGGAGTGTCTGTCTGTGGCTGTGTCTGTGTCTGTCGCTTTCTGTTATTTAGTCTGGCACCACCATACGAGTATGACAACCTTCATATCCGCACATATCCCCACTTCCTTTGTGCTTGTATACTCCTCGTATAAGTTCTTATGAACTCTACTACCCTTCCGTTGGCACATTTGCTTGTTAGTTTATTGAAATTGATATTATGGTTATCCCCGTGGCCAACTCGTGTCAGTCTGTCAGTGTCTCCCTTTTTATTTTCATGCGAGATTTTGTTACCAAATTCATTGTTAAATCGTTTGGAATTGTTTTTCCTTTTCGGCTGCTGCTGCTGCTGCTGCAGCTCTTAGAACTTTCAGACAGAGGACTTGCCTGACTTGATTGTCATGCTATATGAAGTGTTTCTGTCTCATGTTTGCCGCTGTGGCATGTTCCCACAGGCCCTCCCCCCACGCCCCGAAACTCAGGGTAACTCTGTGTCTCTGTGTCGTGGTTCTGTTTCCATATTTTTCGGTCCTTATGTCTTTAATGCGAAACTTCAGAGTCGTCGTCGTGGCTTATGGACTCGCTGACAAAGTCTTTAAAGCGCTTATGTCAATCAATGAGCGGCGACACTGCAGCAGTGCAACAGTGGAACATGCGGCCAAAACGGATGTGGTTGCAGCAAACAACAATAGCAATCACAAACGAATGTCACAGCAGTCTTTAAACCTGGGTGGGCTCTGGCTCTGGGGCCAACATGTGAATTGCGGTAATATGAATACCCCGACAGACAGCAGACAGCAGAAGGTGGCAGAGAGTGGTGGTGGGTGCCTCTGAAGAGCGAGAAGTAACGGTGCAACAACTTGAAATGTTGTAGGTGCGCCCGCGGGGCAACAATGAGGCAACAATATTTAAAAGACACTCGACAATGGCAACAAGCCATCCGAACCAGCAATGAGGCTGAAACGAAGTCTCAGAGAGAGGGCAAGGCAGAGCAGGGCAGGGCACAAAGTTACAGAAGGCACGACAAAACAATACCCGTTCGCCGGTGTATCTATCCCCATGTTGGGGCGCCACAAACCTATCAGAAAATTTATGTAGCCATCAAAGTGAATGGAGATGGGAAATGGGTATTGAGTGCTGGGGTGCTGTCGTTTCTGCTGCAGCGTGTGGCAGCCACGAATGCCGTTCAATTATGAATTATGCCAACAATTTCATTTGACATGTTTGCAGTCGGATCCCCATCCTGCCAGAGCTCCTGCTTCTGCCCCTGCTCGTCTTTCTGTCTTCTGCTCTTCTTCCACTAATTAAATGCAGCTCTGTGGGGTCGATTTGTTGCGCTAATGCGTCTCTCGTAATTACACGAGAAATGGCGACAACGGCGACAACAACACCAGCAACAACGGTCGCGGCGGCGGTGGCGGCAACATTCCAAGGCATTTAACTCATGCGCGAGAGAACGTTGCGTGTGTCAATAGAACAGTGAGAAATGCTTTGTAACCGTGCTGGAGTCACAGAAGGAGAGCCTAGCCATTGGAGACCATGGTGGTGTCCAAGAACGCTCTGGAGGCACAGGCACACAGGCATAGGCTCCTTGGCGTCGTGTCTATGTCCACATTTGGCATGTGCAACAGCTACAGCTACAGCAACAGCAACAACAATGGCTTCTTTGTTGTGGCAAAAGCTCCTTGTTGGCGTCGGCATTGCCTGCAATTGTACATTGACACCTCCTCTTGGCTGTTGCCTTTCAGTTGGTCTTCTTTTTGCAATATACCCTTGCCAAGGATGTTATATACTTTAGCATTGAATTGGATATATTTATTTATCTTTATTTGACAGCAACATCTAACTAAAGCTAACTCTTCTTTTAGTTTTCCAGCAGGAACTGAGAAACGAAGATCCCTTCAAAAGTCCCCTCAAATTACATACATATATAAAATTATCGCGTTATTTAGCTTATAAGCATCTGCTACATTCCTACAAGAATTATCATATTTATGGGCAGATTTCATGGGAACATGGAATGAAATGATTTCTAAGAAAATACTACAATAAGTAAAAGAAAAATATCTTCTAAATTCTAATTGGTATGATGTTCCCAAGTCCCAAGAACCCTCCCCTCCTTAGGGTATTTACACCTTCGACTTGCTCAGTGAGGCTTTGTTTCTGTTGCTTTTTTGTGGGCATTGCTCTGGCGACGTACATGAAATTTATGTCGCCTAAAGTGCAACTCTGACAATGTGAGCTTGTAATTTGTTGTAGTTGTTGTTTCTGTTGCTGTTGCTGGGTTTTTTGTGGCTTTGGTTGTCAGCACTTGGCCATGGCTATTTAATGATTGTGTCGTGCAAATACCAAAAGCAAAAAGCAGTAAAGAAAACCATCTTCAACTGCACAGAGAGAGGGAGAGAGATTGAAATCCCACTCTGCAATAAACCAAAGTCAGCTGTTCCACAACTCCACAAGAGTGGATGGGGGCTGGGAAAGAGACACGGGGCGGTTGGACAGGTGAAAGGCGACACGGGGTGTGGCAACATCATGCAAATGTCACATGCAATCATAAATGCATATCGACATGCACAGGACTGTAATAATTTATACAAATATCTGCGGCTTTTGACTCTGCACTTGTCACCCTTTGGCAGAGTTGTCCCCCAGCCACAAGACCTCTTCCAGGAAGAGCAACGCAGAGCGGGAGAGCGGGCTGCACTTGGTATCTGCATGCCAGGCGACAGTTCAATAAAAGTTATGCCACAAGATGATGACACAGTTTGCAGACACCTGAAAGGTGCCGTGAATGCGGATGCAGAATTGCAGGGTGGGGGGGAGCTGGAGAAGGATCCACCGTGATGTGGAGATTGAAAAACTTTTACCTCGTTGACTGTGAAAATGAAATATGTTTTCGGCTGCATTTCAGGCATCATTCTTCATCCTTCGTGCGCTTTTTTCGGTGACAGTTGCAAAGTGCAGTATCAATAGGCAAAAACGCTTTCCTCACTGACTTTTCCGATTGCATTGGGGATTTTCCGGGGCAACTTTTGCCACAGTCATCCAAGCAGACAGCAGACAGGAGACAGGATAAAGTAAATGAAGATATTCTGGATATCAGAATCTGGGGAATGACTTGCAATCGAAGGCAATCATCGGAATGCCAGTGGCAGGCAGGCAGGCACGCAGGCACACAGCCACGGGGCATGTCCCGGGGCACGCCTGC